GAACAGTAGCTGTAAGATACTTGGTTTGATCATAGATGACAAGTTACGTTACGTTACAATACATTAAGACAATATCTCAGACGTGTTATTTGAAACTGAGAGTACTGTATGCCAATAAGTACATTATTAACTTCAAGACGAGGAAAAAGCTGGCTGAAAGTTTAGTGCTGTCAATTATCAGTTATGGTTTGATAGTTTTTTATCTATGCCTGGACTTACTCGACTCAAATGCGCCTGCAGAGATTGCAGAATAGCTGTTGCCGTTTTGTCTGTAGCTTACGTAAATTTGACCTCATATCTAATAGTTTCAGGCTGTTACAATGGCTTAATATCAATTCTCTGTTCAAATATTTTTACCTAACAATATTGAATCGTGTATTATATTCTAAGAATCCTGTATATTTAGTAGAAAAGCTGGTTCCTAGGTGAAGTATATAATGTCAATATAAAACATCAAAACCATTTCACAATGCTTATGTATGTAACATCGCTTTTTTATAGATCTTTCACGTATAATGCAGTGTCTCTCTTTAACATCTATGGCAGGAATATTGATATATCAAATACCAATTACCATTATGTTCTTTTAGTTAGATTCATCGTTTACTGTATATGTCAAATTAGCATTAAGGTTGAGTGTAAGAATAGCTGTGCTAAACTCCGGCAATAAAGCGGTTTATTTTTATTATTATTATTATTATTATACCCGGCAACAATGATATTGATAATGAGAAACTATTTTCAGCGTGAAAGTTGGATAATCTGACCTTCACCAGGTCAAGTGCCGCAAGAATTTTGATGCAAATTTCACACAAACTATGGCAAAGATGAAAACGCTTAATAATTTTTGAACATCGGTCCAGTGGTGGCAGTGGGCATGAGACGTAAAAAATAAAAATCAGTCAAACTTCGTTTTTTGACGTTTCATAGGCTCCTGGTCATTTTCAGAAAAAAAGTGTAGGGGTTAAAAATGTGGTAGAGGGTGGAGGAGGGTATATCTCAATTTTCGAAGTTGGAATATTTATACATTTCCAGCCCCGGTAATTCTACGTAACTATAAGACATATTTCACACATTAGAGTTATTCCCTTTGCCTTTAGAACCTTTTGTGAACATGTACCTGCCTCAATAACTTTTTGGAGAGCCAGTGGTAGTACATTTTCTCAGGAGGTCAAAATCCTAAAAATCCCTAAAATTGTACACAGAAGCATATACAAATTTTAATTGTACGAGCCGTTTGACCGACTTGATCCATTTAATTCTTACTATACATGTTCGTAGCTATCTTTTTTCTCATGAGGCTTACTTGTAACGAACATAATCCTTCGTGGACTGATGACAGCGTTGCATGGAAAGTGTAGAGTCAACCTACTTGACGCCATTTTTTCAATTCTATCATATTCATAGGTTCAAAAAATTCGACGTTTACATTAATTGAAAAAATGCGGATGCGGAACCCTCGTATGCCGTATGCGGCGTACCGCGATAGAACTAATTATTCCAACTCTGATACCTTAGCCATCTTATCAGCAGCAGCACGATTTCCTTCCTCCCCTTCTCCTGCACCGTGATCTCCTTCTCCTTGATGTCGATTGATATCCAGTACCAGCTGGAGTAGTTGCACCACGATATCTTCCTGGGGATGGGGTTGCGATTCGGAGGGTTGTGACTGCGGCGCCTCTCGGTCTCGTCTGTTGCTCATCTGCTGGAAATAGAACCAGATCGGTCGATATACTGCGTCTTGATATTTCCGCTGATGACGCCATAGCGACTGATTCGTGATGTTCAAAGGTGGCACGAGCCATTTTAACGGGATAGGGGTGCAAAATTGTTGGTCCCAGAATAACGCAGCTGTTGACGGTGTAACCCAACCAAAAATTGAGAGGAATAAAAATATGATCAGAAGTCGCTTAAAATGCCTCCTTTACAAGGGCAGAGAAGCCTAAAAAACGTGTTCGATATTTATATTTTACATTGCCTCGTGTTCTATAGGAAGTTCGAGTAAAAGCTGTCATTTTAACACTATTGGAGTGTGTAAAAGGAGGTTTGGTGGTATAGAAGAAAGCCAACCCCAAGACCGTTTTTAATGCAAACAGCTTCAAGGGAGGTTGTAAATTGACCGTCCACGATTGAAGTCAAGGTTACCTCCAAAACGAAACGTCTCCACAATCTCCAATAGGCTATTGGAAAATGTATGTCAAAAGGTCAAAATCGACATATCACTTACGTAGGGATATCGGATAATATCCCGCAGTTCTCCTCCCTACCTGTTTCATGCTACAATGCTACAATTCTCGTGACCGTTCAACGCCAACATATACTCATAGCTCATTTAGAACCTTTAAAATCAAAGGCAAATCCTATAACAGAGTTTGCCTTTCAAGGAAACGGGATCTTCGAAGGCAAAGGCATGCAGTAAAGCTTTGCCATGATCTTCCAGGCAGAGATATTTGCACGGTGGCATTCTCAGAGGAAATTCGTCAGTGCACCGAGCGGTGCATATTTGTATACTCCGACAGTCAAGCAGCCCTGAAGGCAGAGGCATCCCCGAGAACAAGGTCACCCAATTTAAAGAAGTGACTCTGCTTTGGATCCCCGGATACAGCGGAGTGCCGGGCAACGAGAAAGCTGATCGCCTGGGTAGGCTAGGCTGGGGATCAGAAGTACCTGCATCGCTCCTGAATATAGCCTGGGCATAAGTAGGGGCCAGGTCGACATGGTCCTGAACGAAGGAGTGTAAAGGAATCTGAAAAGAGTGTGGCGTTCCTGATCGACCACTGCAGACTGAACAGGCACATATCCTTTTTAAGGGTGAAGAGAAACCCAACGTGCCCCATGTACTGGAAGGTGTAACGAAACAGCGTTCCACTTTCTGGGCTACTGCCCCGTATATTGCGGTCTAAGGCCTGAGATATTCGGGGTCATGGAATTTGTTTGTGAGGCTGCTTAATCAGCGAAATGGAAAGCAATTAGATTCCGAGACCGGAATCGAAACCAAGGAAACAAATCATTAAAAGGTACGTGTTGGAATTACCCGGCAATTCGGTGTCCAGGGACCCAGAGGATGATCACTTCCCCAAAACCAGCCAAGGGATGTAAATTAGAGACACATTCCTTCGCTACAGTCGATCTTATCATCGACGATATTATAGCCTTCAAAGCTGCTTGAGTGTCAGAACATAATATTCTCCATTTCGTACATTTCTGAAGTTTTTTTGAATAAACCGCCATCGGGATAGCACATATCTTTGTCTGGACGACCATCACACAGGTTCCGAGTAAGTAGGCAGCTTCTCCAGCACTCGCTTGCCTTCCAGGGATAATCGTATCTCCTCGTATATGATACGAGGCTCGGGGTCGAGAATTTTTTCTCCTCCCACTCTCACCCATCCATCCTTTATGGGAATGAAGGCGTATTTCCTGTCTAACTTATGGAAACAACATTTCCCATCAGTTCTTGGTCTATACCGGGTGTTTCAAATTCGACCGTCGCTATTGGGATCTCGGAAACGGTAAGCGATACGAAATTACTTAAATGGCGACAAAATTGCGTATTTCGATAACTAACAAAATCAGGGTAAGAAAGTTTCGAAATTTATAGTACTTCCGAATAGAGAACTTTTAGAGACTTTTTCTTCTCTACAAGATGGTATAATTAGACATTCAATATGACGTTTCATATCTTGTCCTCCAGCATCAACTTTATTTTCTATTACGGACGCCATATTGCATATTTGCATAGATGAATAGAGTTTTTAATTCTGATTACAAACTTTAGTTATTAAGAAGAAAACAGAATTTCCTGGTCCTGGTTAAGCCTTGTTCCGCATATCGGATTTATGGCAAAACCATATTTATTTTTCCTGACCTTATTCCAGATGGGAAATCAAAATAAATTGCATGATGTTTGCCACTAATTATATATTATTATATGACGTAGTCAAAATTTTAGTTCGAGGTTTCTTCTTTCGACCTCCATCACCAACTTTGTTTTTTCATATGAACGCTATATCGGAACTTGACTTTTCAGTTCTAAATTCAGTGATGTATTTCCTTACTTGGCCGTGAAGTTGTTGGAACGAAAATTATAAGGGAATTAAAAGGTACGGTAACACCTTAACACGCACAGCTAAATCATAGCAGATGTTCAAAGTGTTGCCCGTTATTTTGTAGCCAAAGCCTTCTCTGTACATTGTTCACTGCTCGATTTATTTCCCTTAACAGTATTTCAAACCCTGTTACTATGTTTATTTTGTGATCTGGTCTGGTATACGAAACAAATGACTATATGACAATTTTAAGGCCTACCTAGGTAAACCAGTTTTTCTGAAATAACTAAGGTTTGACATTGTTAATGTATAATGTATTATGCATTTTTGGAATCAGAATTAAAAACTCTATTCATCTCTGCAAAGCTGCAATATGGCGTATGCAAGAAAAAACAAAGTTGATGACGGATTACAATAGACGAAACGTCATATTGAAATTCTAATCATGCCATCTTGTAGAGGAGAAAGAGTGGCAATGTTAATGTGCAATTTATTTTGAAATCCCACTACGAATACAGGAAAAAATTAAAATGATTTCGGAAAAATTCGGTTCTTTCTTCGGAAGTGCTTTGAAGTTCGAAACCTTTTGAGCCGCATTTTATTTTGTCCCCATTTGTATCTCTTACCGTTTCCGAGATTCCAATGGTGAGTGTCGAATTTGGATCACTCGGTATATAGTAATTCGTCTCATATCTTCACGACTAAAAACTTGTAGGCCCAAGAAGGAAGCACAGCTTGTGGAGCCAATAACACGCGATAATTCCGTATCAATTCTTGCTTAATTCAGTTAGTAAAAGTTAGAAGTAGCTCAAAAGAATCTGGGCAGAATACAAGGTGAATCTCTGCGTCTTTCCGGCGAATACCTTCAAATTGAATGCAACAAGAATGCACGAGTTCTTTCCAAATCTACATCTCGTAATCTGAATCAACAAAGCATTAATCAATAAGCAACATGTGTGCGAGGTCTTATAAATACAATATCCCCATTGTATACCAAATAAGAAGTGCATTGCAGCGTTGGGCGTGTGCCGGCTGTTTAAAGTTTCGATAAAATGACCCTCCCCCTCTTCCTTACTTCCCTCTTTCCCACCCGGCGCCCATGATCAAGAAAGCGGCTGCTCGATTTCGTGCGAACCGCGATTCAACTTTTTCAATCGCGTTTCGGCTTCGCGAACGGCAAATACGCAACGCAACCGTTGAACCTGCTGTCATATTTGACACGTGTGTCATCAACGGCTGTTCCGTCTGTCATCAACACCGACACCGGTTATTTCCACGTAAAAATTGCTATTTAAAAAGAAAGCTTCGTGCTGTGAAGTGATACAAAAAATCCGCAAACATGGTGAGTCTCTAAAAATATTATACAACTATGAACTTACTTTAATAACTATTGAAAGACAAACGTTCTAGTTAAATCATAATTATACTTTGCCAATGAAAATATCAGTTACTTAAACTAAAATCATATGGATTTAATACATTGGATTGTAATTTTGTTCATGTGTGTGCGGTCACTAAAGAAAATACCTATAAAAAAAACGGAATGGGAATATTTTGTAATAAAGCCTAGTGAACGTATAGTTAATAGTGAAAAAAAAATGATTTGAAATAAAAGGCGGCAATATTTCGTACCGGAATCCTGTAGAAAAATACTACAGATTTAAGTACTTGGTGATCCCAAAATTTCTATGCATATTTTAATGTTTTCAACTGTTCTGTACTTCCATACATTTTTTAGCTGAAAACTGTAGGGACTCAGAACTTCTTTGTTCAAAATGACTGCAATCACTTAAAACATCTGACCGAAGCTGCAAAGTTGATTTTTAGTGTTTGCTTTATCAGATTTGGTTAAAAAAGTCTCACCACTTTTCATGTGACGTCATACCGATCTTACTTTGAGTCCCCCACGAAGATAATGATGAAAAAATCTAATGCGAATATTTTTATAATGGAGCTACCGTTTTCACCTTATCTAAGAGTCATTTAGCGACAATCCTTAGAGCATGTTTTGTTTAACAATGCGTTTTGGTGTTAGCCAATCCTAGATTCAAATTCGGGATCTTTTTTAGTTTGTGAAATAAGCTCGTATACTGACCTGAGGCATATTAACATTTTACCTATATTTTTCAAATTATTGGAAAAGGCAATGTCTATACAAATGAATGAATATGTTCTGAAATATGTTATAGTACCACCTAGGCAATGCGGTTTTAGGAAGGGACATAATACTGCTGCTAACTGACAATATTGTCAGGGCTTGTGATAACCATCAAACAACTCCCTTAATTCTTTTACAACATCAGTTGCTCCAATCAATAGCTTTTTGAGAAATAGATCACGAAAAGTTGTCATCGATATGAACACTTCCCCTGAGGCTTAAACATCATCGGGAGTGCCTCAAGGATCAGTTCTTGGACCACTTCTTTTTGTTTTATATATCTTGATAAAGTTGTTAAACACTGCAGTATTCAGTTTTTTTGCGGATGACCCGCAGTTATACAATACTTTTAATACTGGCAATATAATAATTGTTGAGGCTCAAATTAATGTAGACTTGAGATATATCGACAAGTATGCAAAAATTCATACTCTTAGATTAAATCCGGAAAAATCAAAATTTATTATATTCTCTCCTAAAAAAATTAGAAATCAAATGAAGAAATATCTCTTGACTGTCTAAATTTTATTCCACATGTGAACAATATTACAAAAAGTTGTTTTTTAGTATGTCAGCAATTATACCTGAATAAATAAATTCTCGATTACGAAACTAATTAAATTCTCTGTGAGTCATTGGTTATTTCAAAAATCATATACTGCGACATTGTTTTATCATCCATTTTTAGATTCAGTTTCCGTCAAACGCTTGCAAAAAATTAAACATTCATGTTGCAGATCAATCTCTATTTAAATTTCGTTTACTGTGTTGTGTTCACCAGCTTTTACTTACCTCAATTCCACCATTTTTAAAAGATAAGGTATGTAATATTTCGTGATTCCATGCACTCACGAGATATTCTTTATTGATACAATAACAACGCGTCCTCACAGAACTTCATTTTTTACTAAATGTTTTACTTAATATCGCTGCTATCATGTACAATTCTTTACCTTCTAATAGTAAATCCTTAAATTTCGAGAATTTCAGAAAGTATTTAAAAAAAACCATCTCGAACATGTACGTTGACACCTCTGCATTTTTAGTGGTATATATTGCTTTTATTGTTTATTTTTTGTATTGTCATTTTACGGATTAAGTAATAGAATAGCTTATGCTAAACTTTGCCTGATAAAGACGTTTTATTATTATTATGAAAAAATAATGTAAAAAACTGTATTGTGTTTCATATCGTTTTAGTGAAGGGTGTTTTTCTATTTTTTTTCAGAGCTCCGCTTCCACTGAGCCAAAGACCTGCCACCAATGCAAACAAACCATCTCCGGAGGTGTAAGTATTCATAATATGTGTTTGTCTTAAAGGTTTAACTAGTGTGCAGCGCGATATTTAATAGCATAGCTAACATCATGGTTCACGATAAATTGTATTTTGCCACAAAAGTCTGAAATAGCCTCGAGATCTATGAGGCCAAAGAAGGATGTAGACTGGAACGTTGTTGAGGTAGTAGGCAATATGGAGCAATATTGCTTTTATACGATGCTTAAAGACGTTAAGCCGATTTTTGATCGAAAACGCGGACCAATTTGACTATTATGAGGGGAGGCCAAGTAGCATAGTCCAAAGGATTGTCAAGTTGATTTGTTCAAGTACACTTGGACTACTACCAGTACACACAATAAGCCTCATAAGCAATTAGCAACTATCAAGTGACTGAATCTTAACCCCTTTGTGAATAAAAGTACTTGATGCTTGATGCTACCTCAAACTGTGCAGGATCAAATATTATGAATCTTGTGGACCTTTGGGTCAAAATACAATTGTGTTAATTTTTTCTTAGAACTGTCTCACTTTACTGCACTATAAAAAACAAATATATTGAGTCATTCGGCACGATATTAAATTTTAAAAATATTATAATCTTGAATGAAATGGCAAGTGCTCGATAAATTGTGTTTTTTATTTGCATTCTAACTTTAGATTACACTCAAGTATCGTGATTCATACGATAAGGCTCAAGCTAAATTGTAATTTTCCGATGTTTTTTCTTTTTATAATTTTAGCCACGCTAATGAAAAAATCTTGTATTATTTACGGATGATAAATATAGTAAAACATGAACTGGACGAGAGGGGAAAGGATTGAATTTCTGCAATATTCTGAAACTGAAGGAGTTCATATTTTTAACAAATTGCTGGTGTCAGGAAATGAAAACTGTATTCAATACCAGTTGTAGATTCTCAAGTTATTGCAACTAAAATTTTGAATATTGTCCGGGATTCTACGAAAGATCGATCATATGCCGATTAGTGGTACGATCCACTACAAATTATTGCATCTCAATTTCCAGTTATCCGCATCTCAAGAACGAAGGGTTCATCGTAAAGTTTTGGAAATATATACATACTGTTATCCAATCATAAATCTCTATTTTATTTGACATACAACTGAATTAACATACTTGCTATAAACACAACTTTGGGCATCCAAATAAGTATATTACTGAAACTTTCTTGTGGTTAGCATTACTACCCATTATTAAGTAGTACCTAGTTCAAGGACATGAGTCAATTTACAATAATGCGAAGTGAGCTTGTAAATATAAGCAAATACGTTTTTATTTTTTTAACAAGGATTTTGATTGTTTTTGTGTTGTGTAATGTGTGGCTGCATGTAGTACTAACAATTGAATTTCAGGTGCTGACAGCTCTAGACAAGTCCTGGCATCCCGACCATTTTTGCTGCAACGAATGCAAAAAGCCAATAACCGAAAGCAAATTCCATACTAACGACGACCAGCCCTACTGTACCCCTTGCCATACTAAGCTTTTCGCTAAAACCTGCCATGATTGCAAAGAGCCCATTCTTGATGTGAGTTATGTTTTTTTAGCAGTTCAAGAATTAGAATAAAATTAGCATTGAGATAGCGGCTATTGACCAAACATTGAAATGTCGTAACTAGGCAACTACAAGTTCAGGGACAAAATTGATATATATTATATATATAAAGGGTGACTTTGAAGTTGAGTCGTTAATTTTCAGATAATGATTGTAGAAGGAAGATAAACCAAAATACGTGTGTAAAAATAAAAAAAAATGTTACCTTGTTTTATAAAGTATCCTCCCGACAAGTATTTCAGTGCGGACCTGTATTTGCTCGTGCGGTCTTGGAGCACCGGCATGCCCTCCCCTGTGAGGTCTTAAGTCACCTGATTCACGAGCCCTTTGTACTACATTAACAAAGGCACGAGGGGTTGGTTGCACTCGATTAAATAAGAGTCATGTCCACAAGTTCACAAGTTCAGCATTTTCGTAAACACGTGCCATTTTTTATTTCGTTTGAGCCACGCAACAAACACCACTAATCACTCACGCGTTACCGACTGAAACATTGACTGACATCGTGATACACGTTTCAAATTCTTTCGCTTTTTTGTTTCCGATGCGATGAACCGATAAGGCGGATTATATCCGTTGTTGCCAAACACGAGCACATAATATTATTATTGAGACAGGGCGGTACTCAAACTTCTAAAGGGCTATAACTTTGTTACTTTAATTTTACCAGAAAAATGTTAAAGGAAAAAAAAATTCTTTTGATCAGATCTACTCACTGTTAAAATAAATGACTCAACTTCGAAGTCATACATATATACACGAGGTTTGTTCAAAAAGTATCGCAAATTTTGAGGAGCTACGTATGTTCGATTTTCGATCATTTTGTGGCGTTATGTTGATGCTCATGACCCTCACTAATGTTGACAATATCGGCCATTTTGAATGTTCAGTCAGTTTTTGACAGCTATTGTGCGTGGACGTGTTTTAGCTAGTCTCCGATTTTTGTATATTCCAAAAAATGGATCAAAGAATTTGTATTAAATTTTGTGTAAAAAACAACTTGAAGTGCGCGGACATATTCCAAATGTTGACTGTTCCATATTTGCGTTTATGCTATATACTGCCAGAGCAAAGGTTATATCCTTTGCCAGTTTTTTGTCAACCTCATTTTTCATCAATCTTTTAACTGTAATATCTCGGAAGATTTGTTAATATCGCTATCCATGAGAAATTACATTAAAATTACCAATTGCCCTTTCTTGAGGTTTGCTATTCTCTCAACGCTGACATTCACGATTGTTCCAAGTGGCTTCCTTTTTTCACTCGCTCCATTTTTATATAAGGACGCCTCCAAATGGGGAGTCATCAGTTTTGAAGTGATTGATATCTGGTCAGACATCTAACCGCGCACCGAAATATTTGATCATTTACGTTCACGATTACTTTTTGGTTGTGCTCGTGTCAAATTTGGTGAGCCTATTATTCACAAGCGTTCCACGTCATATTTGGCGTAACCATAATCAATCATAAACGTAGAGACATGAATCTTCAAGGTGATGTAGAGTCTGACCAAATACCTAGGGTTGCGAGGGACAACTAGTAGGATTCAAAACTGAATTACCTTGCTGCGAAATTGATTTCTACCGAAGAATTCCCATAGATTTGAAGGAGCCAAGACTCTATGTTTACATTGCATTATTTGTCACCAGAGTTACGTAGTTCAAATGCATACTTTTAGACTCATTTGTTTACCAATGCCTACCAAAATGACAGCGTTGTATCAACATGATCATTATAATTACCAGTGGAAACATTTATTTTCATTGTGTTTGTGCTCCTTTTTGGAAAGTATGCAAGAAGTAGCACGTTTTGAAATCGTCTGACACCACAATTATCTGCAAACACTCCCACTTTTAAAAAATATCACTAAAACTACGAATTTAATGAAAGAAGTTCTTAGAAGGAATCATATATGAACAAGTCATTGAATATATTGAAGAAAATAAGATATTGACAAAATTTCAAGCAGGATTCGGAAAAAAGTATTCTACTGAAACAGCATTCAAATGGTAGTAGAAGAATGGAAATGGAGGCGAAAAAAGTTTACAGTAACATTGTTCTTAGATTTCAAGAGAGCATTTGAGACTATTGACAGGGAGAAATTGTTAACGAAATTGCATTGCTATGGATTTCAAGGTTCAGTATTCAACTTATTGCAAAATTATTTAATCAACAGAAGTCAAAGAACTAAAATTGGCAATACATTATCAAACATTAAAAACATTTCGGTAGGTGTGCCACAGGGTAGCAAATTAGGTACATTACTATTTATTTTATATATTAACGATATTCCTGATATTGTACAATACTGCACAATTCAATTATTTGCTGATGATACATTAATATATATATTAATCATATACAAAAAACAAAATATAAGCTAATAGGAAAATCTTTAGATCAAAATACGATAAATCTTACAATTAATCATCAAAAAACTGTGTCGATCGAATCATTTAAATATTTGGGCATATACGTAGACAGTAAATTAAAATTTGAATGAATATTATTTCAAAAATATCCAAGAAAATAAATTACTTTTATAGAATTTCGCATAGCCTAAGCGTTTAATCTGAAAAAATTGTGTACAACACAAAATTCTTCCTCATTTGTTATATTATTCGACTATTTTGTTCACAGCAAATGAAACTACATTTTCAAAATTATAAATATTAGAAAATAAAGCTATGAGAATCATCTTAAATAAAAATAAATATACTAGAATAAATTTTATGCTGAAAGAACTACAATGGTTAAATATCAAAAATTTCATAGCCTACTTGGTTTTCATTTTCATATTCAAGTTAAAAAATCTACCAAATCACTTAGAAAATTTTATTGTATTGAACAATGAATGCCACAATTATTCTACTAGAGGAAGTATAGACTTTCATTTACAAAACTGCAGTAGTAATATAACGAGCAAGTCAGTATTTCCAAAGGGATTGTACGAATTTGATAAATTAAGTAATGATATCAAAATGTGTGTCAGTTTGAAAATGTTCAAAAGGAAATTGAAAACATATCTCATGGAAAACCAGAATTCATAGTAGTGAAATTTTGTATAAAAATATGTAATCTTCAAGATATTTTGTGATATACTGTCTAATATGGATATTATGGACATTGTAAAAATGACTTATGTCAAGTGCACTGTCATCCTGACTACATACTATGAGAATAAGGAGACAAACAAATCCTTGACTGGCTCGTTCTACCTAGTCTAAACTGGTTGGTTCCCTATACCAGTATGTAGCTTGAGTATTAGATAGATCACCATTAATAAGCAGATCACCCGAATTTGCGAATGTTAAGCATTTTTAGCAACATACTAATTCAGTTTTCAATTTTCCTGGTTGTTATTCGTCACCCTTAATATTCAAAACCAACCATAATTTTCCACTTGGAACTCACCCGATGTTTATGAAATAGAGCTGAAAATGAAGACTCAAAGCCAGGCATTTTGAAGCGATCGTTTTAGATTCTTTTGAATCAAATAAACAAAAATTCCTCCTTTTAGAAATGCGTCCAGGCAATGGGCGTCAACTGGCACGAGGATCACTTCCTGTGCCAGGATTGCAAGTCCAAGCTGATCGGCACCCAGTTCATGGAAGTGGGCGGTGTCCCGTACTGCCAGAAGTGCTACCTATCCAAGCATGCTGACAGATGCAAGGGGTGCAGCAAACCCATTGCTGATAAGGCCATCGTAGCCCTGGATGCCAAGTGGCACCAGATGTGCTTTAGGTGCTCGGTAAGTATTTGATTTATAGAATATATTCAAAATATTTATTCGGAATCATCTAGAGTTATTTAACATATCTTGCTGAAGCAATGATGGCAGCTAGCTTTATTTGACAGAAAAAAATCTAATATTCCTGGGCTATTCGGAACCATAGGCGTCCGCAGGAATTTTACCCAGGGACAGCTAATTAAACAAATATTTCATCAAACGCATTGACGAGCAAGAAACTGCCTCGACAGTCAATAATAACATTCGTAATTGTATTAGCTCCCAAATATTTCGAAGTCAACATTATATAACATTCCATCTCCTAATTAAAACTAACACCCTCCAAAACCATGTTCCACTATTTTTCATATTTTTTTCGTCCTTTTTATTTGGGAACATTGCCATTACAAGTAAATGCTAAGTTTTAAAACAATACCTGTGATTGTTATTTTGGATGACACTTTACGCCATTTTCTATAATTATCTCGTACTTAAACGCAGCTATTTAAATCATTACTGCCAATGCAATATGTCATATCACTCTCGTTCCAAAAACAGTTTGAATTTTTATTTGCAGAGTAAGACCCACACATCGTGTCTGGCCGACATTTACCTGCCAAAACTCATATTTTACTTTCCTTCTACATTTTACACCTGATTTTCATATTTTTAGGTAAATATAAAATATAGTGCGTTTGTCAGAATATTGAAGTGAAGTAATGTCGACAAAAAGTCACTTCAAAATCTTAAAGAATTGTCCAGGGTGATTCACAAGTCGTGACCAAAAATGAAAAACATACATGGGACTACATTTCACACTTCGTTAAAAAGATACGGGGTGTGGAAGTTTAAAAATAAAAAACATTTTTTTAATATCCTCAAAACCGTCGAATTACCTGAAATTTAGTATGTGGATTCACCTGAGTATTCAAATATTTTTATTTATAATTAACATGCGCCAGTGGCGGAGATACAGGAGATTAGTGGCATTACTTTTCCAACTAAAAATAGTACGCCACTGTTTTTCAAAACGCGCAATGTTTCGAATTTCACCTTCAATTTGCTACGAATAATTTTTGTTGTGTCTTTTCCTAGATTGCACTGTTTTCGTGAAAATAAAAAAAAACAAATTAGATAATCAAAGCTTTATTTCAATAAATGATCCAAAATATCACCATTCTGACGGATACTAGTGCAAGACAAGAGTAATTCTTTGTGGCAAATTGAAGGTAAAATTCGACAAATTGCTCGTTTCGCAAAAAAAACAGTGGCCTACGATTTTTATTTGGAAAAATAATTAGACTAATCCCCTATATCTCCGCCACTGGTGCATATTAATGTTAATTAAAGACATCTAAATGTGGACAATACTTGGGTAGATCCACATACCAGATTTTAGTTCATTTCAGTTGACGGTTTTGAAGATACTAAAAAAAAATTGTTTTTTATTTTTCAACACTTCAACACCTCGTATCTTTTTAATGAAGCCTTGAAGAAAAAATATTACATAGAAGACCCCCCTTAAAATGCGGTCCTGTGTAAGATGTTTCATTTTTTATCACGACTTGTGAATCACCCTGTATAACATCGTTCTCAAGGGAGATGTATATTTTATATGCCTTGTTTTTTGACATTTTGTTTGTGCTTAAAATTTATATTTCAACAGATTCATTTTTGTTTGATAAGTCAATGTTACCGATTAAGTCAACCATTCGCATTATCGGTCAGTGCCATATGGAACATTTTTTTTATTTCGACGCTAAGTTTCACATCTTAGCAACATAAATAGTGTCTATTCTTAAGTGCAAATGTTGCTTCTAATATTACATAGATCCAACATCATGTTAAGTGTAAATGACAACATTGGGCGAGATCTGCAAACCTCATTTCTCGCGTTATCAGATGGCACCAAACCAGTGTTGCCATTTACGCTGATTTACACTACGTACATTGCTTGAGTTGTGCTGTGCTTTGAAGTTGAGTCATTAATTTTCAGATAATGATTGTAGAAGGAAGATAAACCAAAATATGTGTGTAAAAATAAAAAATAAATAAAAAAAAATGTTACCTTGTTTAATAAAGTATCGTCCCGACAAGTATTTCAGTGCGGACCTGTATTTGATCGTGCGGTCTTGGAGCAGCATGCCCTGACCTGTGAGGTCTTAAGTCACCTGATTCACGAGCCCTTTGTACTACATTAACAAAGGCACGAGGGGTTGGTTGCACTCGATTGGGAAACCGATTCGCATAAATCCGTGATGCATCCGGGAGCATTTTGTAAAGACTGCCCCCCCGTAAATAAGAATCATGTCCACAAGTTCAGCATTTTCGTAAACATGTGCCATTTTTGATTTCGTTTGAGCCACGCAACAAACACTACTATTCACTAACGCGTTATCGACTGACGAAAAACATCGTGATAAACGTTTCAAATTCTTTCGCTTTTTTGTTTCCGATGCGATGAACCGGTCAGGCGGATTATATCCGTTGTCGCCAAACACGAACATATAATATTATTATTGAGACAGGGCGGTACTCAAACTTCCAAAGGGCTATAACTTTGTTACTTTAATTTTACCAGAAAAATGGTAAAGGAAAAAAACATTTCTTTTGATCAGATCTACTCACTGTTAAAATAAATGACTCAACTTCGAAGTCACCCTGTATATTATCAGACGTCCAAACCATCATTTATGACTCCAGATTTCGCCGTGAAGCGTGTCGTTTTAGAATCTACCTGCAATCCAAATTTCTAAATTGATCTGTTTACAGCACATTTTCCGTTTATTATGCGGGGTTTGGCATTAGAAACTTAATATTGTTTCTTATTAGCTAGGACGCGAACACTTGCCAAGAGGTATTTTCGGACGTGCAGTCCTGAATTTCTTCAAAATTTATATATCTAGAGATGACTTAATGATGCCCAAGCTATATTTCGCCTCTATTAATATCAGTTAACTTTCAAGTCAAGGATTGTAATCAACAACTGAAAGATACCGTCCAATTTAATAAGTTAATTAATGTAATTGTGACTAGTGGCGCTCCTAAGCGGGTAACAGTGTTACCGTATCATCTAGCAGCAATAGAGTGACCGCAAATATACGGAAATATTTTTTATAAGGCCTGGCTATAATTGCTACACTGGGCTAGAGTTGTCATAGTTACACCCAAATAACGCTACAAAAATATTTCTCTTCTAGATGCTTCGTTACTTCATTAATAGTTCATTAAGAGGGGCGCTTGAATTAAACAATATATTATTTGGGACATTTCATAGCAGGATAATCAATTTCTGACTGCTAGTAGGCTATAAGGAGTTTTTTTGCCTCCAAAAATGTTATATTCTGCCCGGCAAACCTCAAACGTAAAGTGTCGCTTCAAGCTGTGATGTAGTATATGTAGTATACAGAACGAATAACATACCTCGATTTACTGACTATCCAATGTTAAAAAAGAAGTCAAACAGATATTTTGTTTATTTAAAATTTACTTAGCATGATTGCTACAATAATTATAATCTTTTAAAAACCTATAACAATTACATAATATACAGATATTTAGAAAAACAAAAGTTGTATCTCTAAGAATTTTCACTGAAATGATAAATTTCAAGTAGACTATTATTTAGTTTAGTAAATTCAAGTAAACCTTTCTGAAATACTGATTTGCTAGTTTTATTATTATTATTATTAAAATTTTGTAAATAAAAATCTATATTTCCTCTTGTATAATAATTGTAGTAATTATTATTCATTTCTAGTGTTCTAAATCTTGTGGCAAGAGATGATTTTTTATTTAAAATATAAAAACCAAATATGATACAAAATTTTTTATATACAACCACTGCAATTCTTGTAACATATTTTATTTTGCTGTACTTATTTTTATTCAGTATTATTCTCGATGCTTTATTTTGCAGGATATGTAATTTCAAGAATACAGCTTCATTGGTAGTGAACAAGGCAGTTGAATAATATACTAAATGACGTACAATAATTGTATTATAAATATTTTTTTGGGATATGAACTAAGACTATGAGAAGCCCTATGAAAGTAATTTGTTTTTTTTAGTGATCCTACTTTAGCCAATCAGAATTTAGCATTTTCAAATCAGTGACTATATTTTAATCTAATAAAATAAAATATCACAAAAGTCATTAATGTATAAAATAAAAAGTAGTGGATCTAGTTTACTACCTTGTGGTACACCAACAGAAATATTCTTTGAGCTAATGTAAATCCAATTTTGTTTTTTTGACTTCTGTCGAAAAAGTAGTTTTGTAGAATATTGAATACAGATCCTTTAATTTATCTCTGTCAATAGTTTCAAACACCCTTTTAAAGTCCAAAAAGTGTGTCACAGTATGTTTCCTATTGTCCATATATCACATCCAGTCCTCTAAAACCATTTGTATTGCCATTTCAGTTGAGTGTTTCTTCCCGAATCCAGCTTGAAAATTGATCAAAATTCTATTCCCCTCGGTAAATTCGATATGTTCGAAAATAATTTCTTGAAAGATTTGTTCAACATCTGGCAGAACATTGGTGTACAGCTCGGAATTCTTAACTTTCGAAACAGGAGTTATGGTTGAACACTTTAGTTTTGTTGGATATTCGCCATATTTTAAACAGTAATTTACCTCAGGATTAATATTCTTGAATAAATATTATTTTTACTATACTATGTTCTGACGGCACTTGTTTTATGTATCCCTGTAATAGACTAGTAAAATTAGATCCAAATTGCGATACCTTCAATTTTTCTTTCAATTGCTACATTTTCGTTTTTTTTTTCAGAAATGCGAGAAGCCCATAATGAAGGACCAATCATTCCAAGTGGACGGCGGAAAGCCGCATTGCGTGAAATGCTAGACGAAGACACAGAAGTTTCCTCGCATATCCACCTAGGGTTTCAGCGCTAGATTCTTAACATCACAACATACTCGGCGACATTTTTTTGTGCTAGACGATATGTCGAACCTATACAATATAATTATTATACACAGTCATTATGTTTGTTAATTATTGTTATTTTTATATAAAATTGTGTATTAATTTATAAATATATACATTTGTGTACGATGTACTTATATATTTGTAAAGCTTGGCTTTATAATAAATTATTTTATTTTTTGGCTTATCAACGTTTTTCATTACCTACTCCTACTGCCAGTTTAGTAGGTTAATCTTCAAGTTAGGAAAGTATTACTTGGAAGTTAACTATCAGTTACCTGTAACTTCGTCTTTTAATTTCTCGTTGATATGGCAACGCTGCTGTTACGTCAGAATTATCGTGTTCTGTGTATTTCATGACGTTCGGTGTTTGTGTCTCGTGTCATTCATGATAACTCATGTCACGGTCATGCAAAACAGGTTAGATATTGCGGCTTCACTACAACATTCAAGTTGATCAAGTCAATCAGGTTAATGGTTCTTTGGTTAAAGTTAAGTACCGATTGAAAACGAACTAAAAACCTTTTTGAGAATTGACTTCTGATTTGCATTAAAGCTACTGATAACCTGCAATTAAAAATCGGACCTAAGGCACTGTTCTCACAATATAAAATTCGATTTTGTGTGTAGTTGCGTTGCTTGTGTATTTTCACCGAAGTAACTGTCAAACAATTGACAGACTAGTATTGAGGTTGTTGGTGGAGCTAGAAATTATAAAACTACTAATAAGAAGGCGGGATATGAACTGACTATTGTGGGTCATAAATGCCCTGATTGTAATAAGTAGTTTAAAAATGAGCCAGATCAATCAATCAGCATAAGTAGTGTTTTTATTTATTCACCAAAAAGAGCCACAGACAGTACATAAATGATATACAGTATGCCCCAGATTCGCTTTTCTCTACAGGGATCTCGGCTCCTGTTATACCTACAGCAAAGGTCAAATGGTTTTGGAAATACGGGCGAAAAACCGAAAATGGCGGAGTTTGTTTTTTGTCAGTAAATCCAAAACGATTAATTTGACAGCTGTCAAAGTGTGACATTATCCGGACATTTTTTCAAGGCAAATAAGATAGCGCGTAAGACATGTCCCAATCTTCTTTTGTTTTCCCACAACCTTCATGTTGAAAATATGCGTTAGTTTATTCTCTACGACTAAATAATGGTTTTATTTTGAGCGTACACATTTTAGAATGGTGTATATACGAATGTGAATATATGTCCAGTCTTTCAGCATCACGTATGAAGCACAATACAAAAAGAAGAAAAAATTTGTGCACATACTAATTGATACTCGTAATCAACTGTCGCGACAAGTACCAAAATCTCCACTGTCAGCGTATTTTGAAAATCCCATCCCAACGTTTCCTATATGATAGCATGCAAAGGGAATTCTTAATAACCAATAATATCCTGTGAGACATAAAAAACCACGAAAGACCCGCCTACAAGCCATACACCTAGCAGAGCCTGCGTAAAATATTCTGAAGACGATAATCGTATTGGCTGACCAATCAGCGCCAAATACTTTTTGTGGGTATATTTCTGTTTACTGATAAGAGCGTTCCAACGAGTTTTTTCTTTTTTGGGAGAGAGGTGTGCAGAAATAAACTCTTCGATTTATATTGGTCGAGTTAGGATGTTTGTCATTTATTTGCATTTTGCAGCTATATTTTGCAAACAATAATCGTATTAGTTTACAAATCAGCCATTTCTGTGTGACTAATCCTTTCTGCCCATAAGGCACAAATTCATTTGATTTCTTCGATTTTTATTTCGAGGTAAAAACCTTTTGCACCTATGTATTTTGTGTCCAAAAATACCACTTTTTGGATTAAATCGTAATTTTTTTTATTCCTATCAATTTGTACTGCCTAACCTTTAATTTGTGTTACTCCGTTCACCATGGTTCTCTGAATATTTCGTCAAGTAGATCGACTCAGTACTTATGGCGTTTTGTTATACAACAGACCTGAACTGACAAACCGATATAAATGAGAAACACGGTCTTGTGTGATATAGATATCTTTAGGCAACAGGAAACTTATGAACCGAAGTTTGAATATTATCGGAGGACGAGGAGGAAGTATAGACTCAATCTACTTGACGCCATTTTTCTGCTGTGGATATGCTCACACAATTTAATCTCTCTCGATTTTGTTGTGGAGATAACGTCTGTCAAACAATCCGCAGATGCTTAATGGCTTCTGTATTCAGACTTTGCCTTCTTATTTGCTTGATCATTAAAAAAATCGATACTTTAGGAATACTTCACAACAATTTGCCAACATTTCACACCTGTATAATATAAAGTATTTGTGCACCAATATAACGCGCAAAACTCATTTTTTGATTCAAAAATCGAAAAGGTGCGACAGAGATAAATAGATGCAATCCAGAGAGCGATTTATGCCTCACTCATTAATGTTAATTTTTGACAAATAAATCATAGCCTCCTTAAAAAAAACTAATACGTGATGGTTTTTAGGTGATACTCCAATCTTTTATGCACTTGTGAGTCATCACTAGACTGCAAATTTTACACTCTTTTCAAAAATCCAATATGGCGGCCATAAGAAAAACGACGATTGAGACATGTCATATATGCTATCTTATTTTTATTACAAAAATATCCGAATAGTGTCACATTAACCGTTTTGGATTTACTGGCAAAAACAAATTCCGCCATTTTCGGTTTTTCGCTGATATTTCCAAATCCAATTGACCAATCATAAATCCGAAGCCGGCTATCGAAAGAATTCAGTTTCCTCTAAAACGTTCCCCAATTAACCATTCGAGTCTTATAATCATTCATCCAACCCAATTTTGTAGCTCTCCTGGAAGGTTTCCAGCACTTCTGCTGCTGCTGCTGCTCTATCTGAATCACTTCAAGGAACACAAAAAAGTATTATTATCCGATTACGTATTGTGACGATAATGAATAGTACTGCCGGCTCCTCCTGTCGGGAGAGTCTCCCACTCGGCAGAGCTTCATGGCCGATCTCTGTTGGGGACCGTGCCAGTCTCCTTCGGTGGCGTAATCTGTTGAGGACCATACCAGTGACTCGCCTTCTGGATCGACGCGAAGTGACCTCGAATATTCTAGATGCCGCTTTGTGGTTCGCCAGACCTTTCTCGAATCAGCGATGGGGACTATAATATAACTCGTCGGCCAGGAGATGCAGGCAGAGTACAGAGTACAGTAGAGCAGAGCAGAGTGGAGTATAGTGCAGTCAATGGCGACATAACAATTAGTCAGACGTAAATAGTGGTGTACATAAATGTTCTATCTAGTCAAGTTAAATAAATTAGTGCATTTCTTTTTGTGGAATCCAGAGTTTTAATCCACACCCAAAAGAACCCAGAAAAACGCTACATTATAAATGGTTTTTGATGGTACATCCACAGAAGCCATTATCTTTTATCAACTATCGCGTTGACGTCTCTTTTGTGAGAACGATTGAATATTAGTACATTTGCTAAGTCGAGCTGCCACCGAGTTCAGGTTGCCAGTTGCTCTTGGTGAGAATAATCCCTTAGAGTTCGATGCCATCGGTAACATTGATCTTATAGGAAAAACTCACATATCACTAACCTCATTATCATCTACGCTACTTCTCATGTGTTCCATCTGAATCATGGTTGTGATGTTATCTTCGTTCACAGGCGTCATCACGGGCGTTTTCTTCAAGATGCCAGAAGATTTTTTCGTGAAGAGCCTACATCTGCTGTTTGGTATCCGCAACGTATCGCCTTGTACCTTCTCAGCTGGTGGACGGTGCCAGAACGCGGCTGTCTTGTATCTTGACTTCACAGAACGCAATCTAAAACCAAAATAAAAAATGGAATCAAATGCTTTTGTCCAAATTTTCCCTCCCCATACTTCCAGAGGTATGAATAAGTCCGTTAGTTGTAATATTATTAAATGTAGATTAAAAACATGATGGGTTGTACGACGGATCCCTGCGGTACTCCCATTTTTACGCAGCTGTGGTCTGCTTAGCGTTCTGTAGTACGAATAATGCTCTGTGATCGACGCAAGATTTAGATTCGGATATGCTGCACAACAATAAGATTCTATGGAAAGTACATTTTGACATTTTTTTTATTTTACCATAACTTGTCTCAGATAGATATAGTTGTAGTCACCGTTCTTGGCGGTTACGTCATCAACGCCATATGAAATAAGTAAACAGATCGAGTCTCCGTACCATGGGCGTATATTAATTTTTCTAACTGAGGGAAACCGATTCAAAATTATTTACTAATAGAAATTTTCAAAAATCTAATCTAGTACATAAACATGGGTAGAGTATGATACGCCATTTGATGTTTTTTAAAGTTGAAATAAAAATACATACGGAATTTAGAATACAATACAAAATAACACATCTATTTGCTAACTTGATGGAACATTTAACAGTCGATGTGGAAATATGCTCAATTCTTCATGGAGTGAAATGCGACTAAATAAATTACTGCTAGACAAAAATACATTTTGATAATGATGCTCTTAAACTCGAGCTTTTAAATCCATCTCGCCTTAATAAACAAGCTTGTAACGTCCATATCTATCAAAATATTTAACAATCTACCTTAAGGTGCACACATAGAAAATTAAGAATTATAAATTTTCAAAATTGCTTCAATAAAAGTATGAATTATTGGATTTCTTCATCAAAGTCTACTGAACTTTCTCCTAAGTGAATGATTATATTAATCTCCTCCCTATTAAATACTTGATGCTTGTCCCATACCTTATATTGAGCAAGTGCTATCTAGTAACCAGGAAATTCAATTATAGATTCATGTTAGGACGGAGGAATGCAATAGAATTGTGCTGCTGTATTAGGGAGGACTCTAATTTTTTTCTGGGTAATCATGATAGTGAAATGGTAGATGTCCACGACAAGTGTTACCACAAATATGAAATTTTTGTGGCCTCAAATGCATGCAATATGCACATTAACATGTCACTTCCACAAGATAGAGCGACGTGGAATACGGCGTAGAAATATTCATTGTCAAAAACGTTTCCTGATGCAATCAGACCCATATTGGCAAATAATCCACATACGAAATAATTTTTCTAAAGTTATTGGTAAAATCTAATTGCAATGACAATGCTGTCCATTTTGCTGCTGCTAGGTGGCGCTAGTGTGATTTGAGGTCAAACTGTCAAAAGTGTATGAGAAACCGAGATTTGACGTCTATTGATGTGAACAACCGAACATCATTTGACATCTCTGTTCATACCTAACCTTAGACGTGACCTCCTACCTCACCAGCGCCATTTACCCTAAATACGGTCTATAAGACATAACCCTCATGCTTTTACATTCTGATAATATAAACAAAATATTTGACATTTTTTCAAAATTGTTCGTTTCAGTTAAAACAAAATATCAAGGTACCTAGTGGGGCATCATTTGCAATAGGCCCTTGTTACAGTTTCTTTTTATGGTCAACTAAAAATTAACTACATCTTGATAACGTAAATTATTACAACGTTTTTCTTATTTAGGATGATAATTTTATTCTTAAAAACATCGAATTTAATTTTTATAACAAAACATTTCTCTCAGTCTAATAATTTTGTGGTAAAAGTTCATACTCCATCTCGTTGGAGGTCATTTTTTATAATTTCTGTCGACCGAAAATACGAAAGCTGAAGGTGACTTGGTGATATTTCTGGTGCTCTGGTGTAGGAATTATCTGCGGCCCACCGTCCGATTCTGTGAAAGAGTTCACACGCTGAGTTGCGGAGTTATAGGGTGGTGGGCTGGTTTTTATTAGAAATCGGCCCCCTTGGAGTTTTTTTTGTCGGAGCCTTTTTCGCACCCTATTGGGGATTTAACCGTGTGGACCACCAACCATTGAGCTAAGGGGAACCGCCTGCAGGGTTAGTCCAAGGCGAGTTTGAGTGGGACTCACGCTTGGGAGGAGCAGTTCCCCATTTTTGGAGAACCCTCAGTGTTCGAAGGTTCTACCCTCCAGTTTTATCACCTGGTTCGACCTTGGGTTCTACCTTCGGGTATACAGGGTGTTAGGGAAATAATATTCGTAACTTTAAGAGGTGATTCCTTGCATTATTCTAAGCAAAAAAGTTAATTATAACCTATGTCCAAAAATCAACAGTTTCGAAGCAAAAAAATGCTGAACTTATTTCTTTTTAGTCACGAAATAAATTAATTTTGCACCTTAATAATTTAAATGCATATGCCTAATAGCGTTAAATCTTTCAATACATCTATTTATTAATTGTCTCTAACAAAATAATTTTCTTGCGTATTAAATGCAATTTTCCGAAGAAAAACAGACAAACAAGATTCCTCACACAACTGGCAACGTCGTACTCCGCCTGTACTGCATGTATCATCGCGTGTTGTTGTGATTACTAATACATTTAACTGTAACTTTATGCGATTTACGGATGTTGTTTTTTTTTCTTTTTTCATGCATTGCATCGTTTCAAATAAGTGACTGATAATCGTGGGAATTGGTGGTGTGTATCGCCACGTAAGTTCTGTCATTTTTTAAAGTAAATTCTGAAAGTGTTATTAAACAAAAAATATTAGCCACAAAAAATTGCGTAAAAGTATTCAAGGCATATTTTCAACAAAAATATCATACAAACGTAAACAATTCCATAAATCAGTTGCGGTAGTCGTGCGCTCGTATCGCGGTTGCGTTGCAGCGTTGCCAAATGTTTGAGAAAATTTAATTATTTACGACTCATTTTCCTCGAAAACGATTGATTTTCGGACATAAGTTATAATGAACCTTTTTGCTTAGAATAATGCAAGGAATCAAATCTTAAAATTACGAATATTATCTCTCGGTTGTCTTTCGGTGATAGCCATGCACCTGCATAGGTGGCTTTTCTTTTTTATTTCAGTTTTATTGGTAACGATTTAGCTAATAAATAATTTTCTTAGCCTGTCCTCCAGGACTCTTCTTTAATTTTTTTTTGTTCAATAAATGTCTGTGAGCTTGTATCTCCTTTAGCGGCAGAATCCCAACAGTGATACTTGTTATTTCAAAAAAAAAACAACCATTGCATTCAAAAACCAAAGTACAAAGAACATAGCTCTGGCGGGGGGGGGGGGGTCATATTTACCAACTGAGCACAGTTAAGATTAAGTTTCTAATCAGTCAACTTACTTTTTTGATCCTGCAGATTCAGTCACTTTTCTCCACATAGCATCTCTCATATACGTCGAGGTGGTGTTATACATCGAAAGCCTTGCAGATAGGTTATCATTTTTCTTAGCTCTGTTATTTTCCGATAGTTCGTGTTTAGTTCTTTTTGCTTGAGGAAGACTGTTTTTTGTAGCATGGGCCTTCGACATGCTTTCGGTAGATATGGCGAAAAAGTGGTCCTCTATTTTTTCTATGGTAAACTCAGCACTTTGGCGGAAGATCTACAAAGGACAAAAAGTGGAGTTCTGGAGAAGCTTAATATTTTTTGTGCTTTCGTGTCTTTGGCGTAAGTTTCATCATTTCATCCGAGTGATACTTCTCAAATAATAGGTATACTATAACTATCTAGAACTGTAATGACTCATCGATGTTATCACTTAACTACCAGTAGTCGGCTGTTCATAGGCGGGGTATGAATGTTTAACATGGGTGAACTAGATTTGTCACATGCTTAATAAAGAGTGGTTTGAAACATACTGTAAGTCAAAAATTTGGGAATTACCTTTATTCATCGTCGCTTCCACTTACATCTGACAGTAATAAACTGTCGCTATCGTTTTCCTCGTTGAAATTGACTATAACTGGCTCTATGATGGTGTCGATGTGGTGCTCAAGCTGCCACATTTTTGTTTCTTTCTTCACAACATGACGGATAGCATTCTGCCAAGCTTCGGGCGTTACTAGCTGTACGGAAGTCTCAAGTAAAACCTTAACGTCTGGTAATTTGAAGGTTGTGTTATGGCGCGCACTTGAGCCCAGATGAGCACTATTGGGTTCAGTTCACAGTGGTAGGGCGGTAACCGCAGCACAGTGACACCACATTGACGGGTCATCTCATCAGTCACGTAACTAATGTTCGCAGGTTTGTGCTGTTTAATTTTTTCATACAATTCCGCGTTCACACATGAATCGTCAAACGGGATTCCTTTTTCGCGCAACCATTGCTGCATGTCACTTTTTCGAGATCCCATAGTCGGTACACGTTCAGCTCGACGACTATGGTAGGAAGCATTATCCATGACGATCACATAGTTGGGCTCAACTCGCTGAAGCACCCCTTGAAACCCTCTCTCGAAGCAGCTGGCATTCATTTCGTCATGGTAATCACCTCTTTTCTTAGAGACGAAAATCAAGTCACACTCTTCTAAAAAGCCACTATCGCTACCAATATGAGATACGATCAATCTTTGACCTTTCCCTGACGGTCCACGAAGACCTGTTGACAAACCTTCAATGCTTGCTTGTCGGTTACTCACTACGTTTTTGTCTATCCAGGTTTTTTTAACTTTGTGACCTGCATTTACCCATGTCTCGTCCAAATAATAGATTTTTCTGCTTTGTCGCCTATATTCAATCATTTCGCGTAGGTATTTTCGACGCCAGGCGACTATTTCAGGTCTCTCTATCAATACTGACTTCCGATTACGCGTTTCGTAACGAAAATTAATTTCGTGCAGGGATTTCCTCATTACCTCGACGCTCATTTGAGGTATAATTGCATTTTCCTTGATCGCTGCATGTACAGCCTTGAGGGTTGGTATCTCATTCCTAAAGAAGAATGAATGTACGGTTCGCCTTAACGCCATTTTGCTATCGACATCCAATTTAACGGCCTTTCGTCCCTTCAAATTAAACTTTGGATCAGTAGTAGCTCCAGTTTTCTTCTTTTCATGCACCACCCTGCGAATGGTCCACTCTGGAACGCCTGTCATACTTTCACAACGCGCGAGTGCATCTCCCTGCGACATAGTTCTGTTCAGATAATTGAACACGTTGAACACGATTTCTTTCGCGTCCCTCTTCAGTGCTTTACGAAGCCGTCTACTTGTTCCCTGGCTTTCAGTACTTCCACTCGTGCCATTTGTACTCTCCATGGTTAAGTATAACCAAAACAGTAACCACAGAAACCACAACAATAACAATCACACAACAATTCTTATAAAAACACACAATATGCGATCGCTCAACGAAACACGTTCCAATGCGTTGCCGACGCCTATGAGTCTGCCGGTCGAGGCGCGTCTTTGATTTCATTGGTTCTACCGGCGGAGAACAATCAGCCATTATTTCCATCTCTGTCTGTGCTGTTGACCACCGCAAAGCCACAGAAACGACATATGTCGTACGCTATACGGCTGTACTGGAAGGAAGCCGGGATCGAGCTTTGATCACGTGTTGATCACGCGTATGAGTCATTACAGTTTTAAATAGTTGTAGTATAGTTGTAAGATTAGCGGACAGATCGTTAGACAGACAGACCGACCGAAATGAGTGACGGTTTTTCAAAAAACATCATATCGCAATTTCTAAAATTCTTGTAATTACAATGCTTCCCCATCAGTAGGGATGTGCGACAGTAATTTTAAAAATACAATTGTACGAAACAGTTAAAGCTGTCAAAAGCCACATTATGAGAAAATAGAGATGAAATTTAATCATTTAACACTACTTACATTTATAAAGTCAGAGAAGTCATGCTGGTTGTCCGTCTTTATTCTCGCATGGATATCACAGAGCTCTAGTAGGTTCTTCAAAAGTAGCTTCAATTTGTCTGAAGAGCAGACTCCGATCGAAGTAGGCAGATGGTTGTGATACGCCGTCAAACCATTTAGCACTATCTGGTATACCGATAACAGTTTTTGATTGGTCAGGTTGCTGGAAGACTTCACTTTGCTTAGGTCGCTAAGCTAAAAAAATGGAGATCGTGATACAGTTGGAACTACGAGTATGTAAATAACACAGGTTATACGAAGCTTTCCTCAAATTTGACATGAAGTGATCGAGAATGGGGAGATTCTCGAAACGGAAAATATTCATATCAATCGCTATAAGTGTGTGTATAATATAAAAGTTTTGGTGTTTATATAACATGCCACTAACCGGTCAATAACTCGTCAATAATCAGTTCTAGCGATGAGATGTAGCTATCGTTAATATTGCACCCACGTGCGTTATATAGGCAACACACAATACAACATCCATGGCTCGGAACTAAGCACCCGAGGCGGAGATTCGAACCCTCGAGCCCCGGATTGCTAGCTTGACGCGCTAGCCACCGAGCTACCGAGGTTCCCTTACAGGGTGGCCCAAGTTTGACCCACATATCAAAGTTATAATACATTAAAATGTATTGCAAATATGGATAAGCCAATTCAAAAGATGACTGATATAGCATAATATAGGGCTTTTGTACTTAGTTGCTGATCTATAAGGTGTTTTGTCTAAAAAAACTCTTCAAGGATTTAGCGCTGCATTTCCCACTAAAAAAACCTACACGCCTAGCTTTAGTCTTTTAACATTGATATGCCAGTCAACCCGTATAATTGTGAATTTTCTAAAAATGAGTCTTCACATCTTATTAAGTAAATTTCTTCAAAAAGCTGTTGTTCAAAGGAATATGCCGACCTCGCATGGATGAGTCACCCTGTATATACACCAAATTTGTGACAAGTGACATAGTCCGCTGGCACAAGCGCGTGCATAGCCAAGTAAGGACCCCTGGATCCATAGCAGCTCGAGGTCCTACTATGCCAAAAGAAATTGAAGAACGAGAAGTAATCAGATATTTGGTTTGATTATGGATATTTGGGGGTCCCTATTAAGACAGAGCGTTGGGCACTTGCCCCTTGTCCTAAAGTTTAAAGACCGAATAATAATAATAATAATAATAATAAAGTTTAGAGTCATGGTACTCACCTGTCTACCTATAGGATATAGATAGTTTCTTGAGAATCTATTTGAAAATTCTTTAACTCTAAGTTGCCTCCTGGTGATATCTTCATCACCATCTGGTGGAGAAATTCCTTTCTGCATTTGAAACCTAAAATATTTAAATAATCAAGCAATCCATGCAAAAAAGGTATTTTTGTTTTCATACTCTATAAGCATATGTTAAAATCTATTTTACCTCCCTAGGGCATACAGTCCGTAAACCAAAGAGTAGGATAGGACTTAATGTCCGGAAAACCTATTTATAAAGTACATTTTACGGTCCAGTCATAGATAATGAATTTTGTATGTAGTACGTTGAGCGATCGGTTATGGACCGCGGGCTTTAAGAGGCCAAGAGACATGATCGCATCGAATATACGTACATCATTTTTAACGACTGGCTTTCTAGCACAAAAAAAGTCTTACCTAATATCGCTAATGACATGCAAGCTTTTCTCTATGAATGATTTGCACTTTTTCTCGAACATATCGTCAGTTATCATAATCTTGGGAACCGGAGGTGGACCATTTTTATTATTACTTCTATTATTTGTCTGTATTTTGTTTGATCTATTTTCATTTTCTTTCCTAGTATTGTTGATGTCGTCTTTCTTTTGTGCGGAATCGCCAATATCCAAATCTATATCATATGTAATCTGATTTCTGCTCATGTGGGAGTAATTTTTTTGCAGCTTCTTGATGTTGTTTTTAATGTTCAACTGAAAATAAAAACTTTTTTTGATCAAAACGTGAAATATCTCTTGAGTTAGAAAAATGTCAGGCATTAATTTCCAATTCATTGCTTGCATTACAGCTTGGGTAGCCGACACTTCGCGAACGCAATCTGAGGAATGGCTTATCGGCCATTTTTATGTCACATGTGCCTCCCTAATCTTATCAAAAGAAGCAACAATTTAAAGATATTCCGTCATAAACTTAAAAACTTTCACATAATGTAATTCCACTATAGTTTAGTTTTCAAGTTAGCTTAGTCATTACGGATGATTGTGTTCTTCAGACAATAAACCATATTAATTTATCTATCTATCCATCTATGAAACACCTTTGGAGCCGTGTTGAGGGTAAAGCAGTACTTACTGTATTTGTATCCAACCGATCCTTGTCTCTTTCAAAGTTAGAAGCACTAGACGAGGAGCTATTCAGTTTTGGCGAGCTAGATTCAGAGGATTCACTGTCCGACAATCTTTTGGGATGCAACAAGAAACTGCCTTCTTTTTTGTTTTTTGAAGCTAAAGTGCTGTTTGTTCGCTTTGTTTTTCCGAGGTTTTTCCACATGTAATCATCGACTATTTCCTTTTGTTTTCTTAATTTTTCTAGTTCTTGTAATTCCATAAGAAGAGTTCCCTAGAACACACGTTACAAAATCATTTAGTAAATACATAGAAATTGAAAAATCAAAATTGTAAATATGTCAAGCGTTCAATATATTAAAGTAAAGAGTTGGAATAAATTATGTCCATTACAATTCATTTTATATACAGGATGTTCATTTGAAAATTTCATACCATGGCTTTATCGAAAAGCATTGATTAAAAGAGAAAACGCCGAGACACGTCAAAAGATTTGTCAACTTTTTAACCAAAAACTACTTCACCCGTTTTCACTCTTGGCCCCCCAGGGTCATTTCAATAAAAATTTCAAATGACAAGGGGTATCGAGTAATAGTTTGTTTGAAAGGTCTTCGAATTCCATTATTTTGACGTTTGATTTCTTAAAATAAGTCGATTCGTCTTTGGCAAAATTAGAAAAATCTTTATTTATCTTAATTTGTTCAGAAAACAAAAAGTCACAAAAATATCACTTTTTATTTCAGTAAGTGTTCAAAATGTTGCCCCTTAGGGTTTTCCAAATCTAAAATTCGTTTATAATAATTTAAAACGGAAACTACCAACAAATAACAACCCGAATTTTTTCCGCATTCTTTTCATCAACACAGATATCCTGGGCGAACTGTATTTATTGTTATACCTGTTTGTTGCTAAGGGAAAGATAGAATTTAATTTGCTGTCAGTTACTTTTGTGACAATCCTTGGATAGTGAAAATTAATTAATTGATTCAGATTAATGATTCTAATATATGGTGCCCAAAATCAATGTGGTCGGCAAACTGCCGCCACGTTTAACTCCAGACATCCGGTGAAGATAACTTCGCATAGATATGTTTTGGACCTTGTTACTAAATTTACTCATATCTCAAATATTTTATTTCTTATTTTAAAATGATAGATTAGGATGTAACTGACACGAGAATATCATTTTTTCTTTAAGGAACCCTCTGCTTGCTATTTTATAGAACTTCAAAGTTGCATTTTGGGTGCAAATACAGTGGTAAAGAATACTGCTTTATAAGCTGTTTTCTTCTTGTTTATACAAAAGATTGTCAAAATTATATAAATATAACATACACTGTAAGTTACTGTGATACTATCACACATCATAAGTAGTCATTTCTTTTATTTCAGATAATTATTCCCATCACTACACCACCCTCACTGTCATATTCTCCCCATCTAGTTGCGATGTTGCCAAATTATGGATAGTAATATACCTTAATTTGGTTTGTCAAATTCTTACTTATACAGGTATACTAGCGCAAAAATGTGCAATCGGCACAGGATTGTCATTAAAATGCGATTTGGAGGTGTGGCTGGCAGGTTTTACTCTACTAAATCCACCTTTTGTGCCCTACGATAGCGTTAGCTAACGAGACTTTTTTGAAGAATGGCTTATGCCCTTCACAAAAGTACTTCGGTTATTGTTTTTCCTATATTATAATCTATTTACTTTTTGTATGTATGTACTTTAAGAATTATTTAAAGTGAAGCTGATGTTACAAAGTGTACCTAATTGAATGTGATATATATGAGAAATAACTGAAAAATTAGCTGTTGCAAATCACTAAATAATGAAAACATAACAAAGAACATTGCAAGTTTTTTGATGATTTGATGAAATGATCATTGATCTTTATCTAACTATAATGTTGGACGATGATGGGTTGGCCTGGCGAGGTGGTCCACATCGACGAATCGACGTTGGGTATTTTTATATGCTGGTGCCTTTTGTATTTTTTATGTCACGTGAGCCGCTGGTGCATTTTCCACTGTTTAGACACATACTGTTTAAAATTTCATCTAGTTTTAGGTAAACATTTTGATAACTTTTCATAAAACAAGCCATTTACAATAAATTAAGACTTTTATTTTGCAAATAACCTCATTTATAATTACGTATTTCTCCCAAAGAAGGTACAACTTGGCAACAATGGACATTATTTATCGCATCTGTCAAGAACTGAGCGTTATAAAATGGCCATTGAGAATTATTTGTACTTTCAAATATTTCTTATAAACGAAAACGCTTTGAACTCATTGCAAATTCGCGAAAAAATGGTTAAGACATCGAAAAATCACAAAACAACACCTCTATACAGTTTACCAAGTAAATTCCATCATTTATGTATGTATTTTGATCTGTTATTTAAGCTAATAAGCTAATGTCTAATAACACGTCTGGTTTTGAACCTTTTTTGCAAAAACAACGATTTTTTACAGTTACACATCTATTTTCCTTAGTACTATGCAGTGTATGTTATATTCTTATAATTTAGAGCATCCTTTTGTACAAAAAGCAAAAAGACAAACAATATTCTAGTATTACCACCAAATGTGCAACTTCGAAGTTCTATAAAATAGCAAGCAGAAAGAAAAAATGACATTTTCGTAAAAGTTGCATCCTGATCCATCATTTTAAAGTAAGAAATGAAGTATTTGCGATATGCGCTAAAGTATAGTCTTACCCAAACTGGATCTATTTCAAATAAAAAACGTGATCATCGAGGAGTTTTGGCTGCTCAAGTTGAAGTTTTCGGTCATTTTGGAATAAATCCTAATACTTCATTACGCAAAATTGTTGCTGTAACTGGCATTTCATTAGGCTCTGTACATACAGTTACTAAACTCCATAAATTACATCCATTCAAAATGAAAATATTGCAAGAGTTAACCGAATATGATTTCGAGTTCAGTTTTGTGAATAAATGATATCATTCATGAAAATAATATCTGCTTCAGTGGTGAATGCACATTTTATCTGGATTTATGAATAAGCATAACTGCAGGTATTGGAGCAATAAAAGTCCTCATGCTTTTGTAGAAGGACATACCCAGTACCCCCAAAAAATTGATGTATGGGCAGGCATTACAGGAAACAAAGTGATTGGAATGGAAATTTGAATGGAGACATTTATTTGGATATTTTGGAAAATACAATCACTGAAACCATTGAACACCAAATCGGAGAGTATGGAAACCATATACTTGATGAAATATATTTCCAGAAAGACGGCGCTCCTCACTATGATCTTTCGGTTCGGCAATGGCTATACTACAACTATTTAAAACTGTAATGTCTCATACGCGGGATCAACACGTGATCAGAGCTCGATCTCGGCTTCCTTCCAGTACAGCCGTATAGCGTACGACATACAGGGTGACTTCGAAGTTGAGTCATTTATTTTAACAGTGAGTAGATCTGATCAAAAGAAATGTTTTTTTCCTTTACCATTTTTCTGGTAAAATTAAAGTAACAAAGTTATAGCCCTTTGGAAGTTTGAGTACCGCCCTGTCTCAATAATAATGTCATGTGCTTGTGTTTGGCAACAACGGATATAATCCACCTTATCGGTTCATCGCATCGGAAACAAAAAAGCGAAATAATTTGGAACGAGTTTTTTACAATTATTTCATTCAGTTCAGTTATACATACAATCAGTGTCAGTCGCGTGTGAATAGTGTCTGTTGCGTGGCTCAAACGAAATAAAAAATGGCACATGTTTATGCGGATCGGTTTCCCAATCGAGTGCAACCAACCCCTCGTGCCTTTGTTAATGTAGTACAACGGGCTCGTGAATCAGGTGACTTAAGACTTCACAGGGGACCTCACGATCAAATACAGGTCCGCACTGAAATACTTGTCGGGAGGATACTTTATAAAACAAGGTAAACATTTTTTTTTTATTTTTTTTTTATTTTTACACACATATTTTGGTTTATCTTCCTTCTACAATCATTATCTGAAAATTAATGAATCAACTTCAAAGTCACCCTGTATATGTCGCTTCTGTGGTTTTGCGGTGGTCAACAGCACAGACAGAGATGGAAATAATGGCTGATTGTTCTCCGCCGGTAGAACCGACATAGGCTTCGGCAACGCATTGGAACGTGTTTCGTTGAGCGATCGCATATTGTGTGTTTTTATAAGAATTGTTGTGTGATTGTTATTGTTGTGGTTTCTGTGGTTACTGTTTTGGTTATACTTAACCATGGAGAGTACAAATGGCACGAGTGGAAGTACTGAAAGCCAGGAAACAAGTAGACGGCTTCGTAAAGCACTGAAGAGGGACACGAAAGAAATCGTGCTCAACGTGTTCAATTATCTGAACAGAACTATGTCGCAGGGAGATGCACTCGCGCGTTGTGAAAGTATGACAGGCGTTCCAGAGTGGACCATTCGCAGGGTGGTGCATGAAAAGAAGAAAACTGGAGCTATTACTGATCCAAAGTTTAATTTGAAAGGACGAAAGGCCGTTAAATTGGATGACGATAGCAAAATGGCGTTAAGGCGAACCGTACATTCATTCTTCTTTAGGAATGAGATACCAACCCTCAAGGCTGTACATGCAGCGATCAAGGAAAATGAAATTATACCCCAAATGAGCGTCGAGGTAATGAGAAAATCCCTGCACGAAATTAATTTTCGTTACGAAACGCGTAATCGGAAGTCAGTATTGATAGAGAGACCTGAAATAGTCGCCTGGCGTCGGAAATACCTACGCGAAATGATTGAATATAGGCGACAAAGCAGAAAAATCTAATATTTGGACGAGACATGGGTCAATGCAGGTCACACAGTTAAAAAAACCTGGATAGACAAAAACGTAGTGAGTAACCGACAAGCAAGCATTGAAGGTTTGTCAACAGGTCTTCGTGGACCGTCAGGGAAAGGTCAAAGATTGATCGTAACTCATATTGGTAGCGATAGTGGCTTTTTAGAAGAGTGTGACTTGATTTTCGTCTCTAAGAAAGGAGGTGATTACCATGACGAAATGAATGCCAGCTGCTTCGAGAGCTGGTTTCAAGGGGTGCTTCAGCGAGTTGAGCCCAATTCTGTGATCGTCATGGATAATGCTTCCTACCATAGTCGTCGAGCCGAACGTGTACCGACTATGAGATCTCGAAAAAGTGACATGCAGCAATGGTTGCGCGAAAAAGGAATCCCGTTTGACGATTCATGTGTGAAAGCGGAATTGTATGAAAAAATTAAACAGCACAAACCTGCGAACATTAGTTACGTGACTGATGAGATGGCCCGTCAATGTGGTGTCACTGTGCTGCGGTTACCGCCCTACCACTGTGAACTGAACCCAATAGAGCTCATCTGGGCTCAAGTGAAGGGTTATATTGCGCGCCAGAACACAACCTCCAAATTACCAGACGTTAAGGTTTTACTTGAGACTTCCATACAGCTAGTAACGCCCGAAGCTTGGCAGAATGCTATCCGTAATGTTGTGAAGGAAGAAACAAAAATGTGGCAGCTTGACCACCACATCGACACCATCATAGAGCCAGTTATAGTCAATTTCAACGAGGAAAGCGATAGCGACAGTTTGTTACTGTCAGATGTAAGTGGAAGCGACGATGAATAAAGGTAATTCCCAAATTTTTGACTTACAATATGTTTCAAACCACTCTTTATTAAGCATGTGACAAATCTAGTTCACCCATGTTAAACATTCATACCCCCGCCTATGAACAGCCGACTACTGGTAGTTAAGTGATGTTCACGTGAACATCGATGAGTCATTACAGTTTTAGATAGTTATAGTATAGACTACGAGCTTCCAGATAAATGGGTAGGGCGAAGAGGGCCTATAGAATGGCCTGCTAGGTCTCCTGCTTTGACGCTATTAGACTTTTTTCTATGAGGCTATTTGAAATCTATTGTCTTTACACCCCAACCTGAAAGTTTGGATGAACTTCGTCAACGCATCATCGAAAGCTGCAATGATATCCCACAACATGTTTTTGAAAATGTCCGTTAGGAATTTGAAAATCGCCTATATCATTGTTTAGCCAATAACGGGCAACATTTTGAACACTTATTGAAATAAAAAGTGGTATTTTCATGAGAACTAACACAGACTTAATCGTAGCATATAAAGGAAATTTAAAAATTTAAATGTTTCGTGCGTTTATGAAATATACGCATAAACTAATTTCTTAGGTAAGTAGGGCACGTAGATTATTAATATGATGAAATCAGGTTCAAAGTTACCTCAATTTCGTTCACGTGTCACTCTAAAACTCTAAGGTATACTATTGGAGACGAAAATACTCAACTGAGCTTGGGCTACAAATTTCTTCAAATAAAGCTTATAATTTTGTGCAAATTGGCCGTATTTCCCACTTATGATCGATATCAAATGCAATTTTTTTTCTTCAAAATTTGCATGAAATGTCATTTTGTTTGCGTGAACGATATCGTACTATAGTCAACGCCAAACAAAGTGGCGTGCACGTCATCAAGGTGGGTGTGTTGAAAAATTTACATTGTTGCCAAACTTTTTGTAAAATAATAAAATTTATTATTTCCATATCTAGGTTTATAAGCAATATTAACCTCAAATGAGAACAAAAATAATAGTATAATAAAATTATAGATCTGTACTTGCATAATCATTAAGTATGACAATTATTGATCAGATGACACTATGAAACTACCATATTTAATTGATAGCTTAAAGGTACTGAATAAAAATCCAAATGGGGTCCTCCAAATTTTATGCATGGTATTTATTTTACAGAATTCATACAGAAAAATGCATTCTAAAATTAGGTAAGCTACTGGTGTAAGCTTTTTCTGTACAATAAAGTTAGTCGGAGTTTCTTTCTTCAGCGCTGTCTGAATCTGAATCTTCATCACTCTCAAAGTTGATTATTAAAGGTTCGATGTCTGGTCGATCAAAAATTCGTTCTCTTTCATACCATTTAAAAATTTCTTGCTCAGTATGTCGAACACTATTTTTCCACATGTCTGGGGTAACCGTTTGTAGAGCCTCGTTCCACATATCCAAACAGTCTTTTTCACTGTTACCATCTCTACCAATATGTCTGTTATAGTAACCTTTTGCTATGCCCCAAATTAACTCAATAGGGTTAAATATACAATGGTAAGGAGGCAGACGAAGAACTTTGTGCCCATGTTGTTCCGCCAATTCATCAATCACGTATATTTTAGGTGGTTTGTTTCTAAAAAAGCAGTTATTTTAAGAATAGGAATAAACAAAAGAAATATAAACTGTCGACCAAAATATATATAATTAAGGAGCATTATGTACCGAGCAACAATACTCAATAGCTCTGTTTTAAACATTGTGTTTAAAAATGGTATGTTTTGATTTGTCAACCAGTCTTGGATATTTTTTTTTGTCCATGCATTGTTGGGCACTTTGTTCAATATCATGCTGTGATAAGGGGCGTTATCCAGTATAATCATAGATGGACTCTCCAATTTTTCTAATAACATGTTGAAACCATTTCAAAAAGTTGTCCTGGTTCATCTCTCCATGGTAATCGCTCAATTTTGTTTTCGAAGGAAATATCGCTTCACTACCCTCAATAAACCCATTTTCATTTCCAGCATGTAATATAATGTATCTAAAATATATTAGTTTTAAATTTTATAGTGCAAATTGTGTAAAAGTACATACCTTTTACCATCTGTTTTAATAGCTTTCACGCTTTTTTGGTTTCCATTTTGCCAAGAGCGACCTATGGTCCCATTTTGAAATATCCAAGTTTCATCGAGGAAGACAAACTGGTATAAGGCCTCAACCTTGGCTTGATTGTATTGCCTTAGAAATTCCACCCTTTTCAAAGCTATACTTGGTAGTTCCATGAGCCCTCGTCGCGGATTGTCCTTAAGCCACTTAAATCCAAGATCTCTAAGCAACCGCCTTAAAGACGTGGCACTACCATCAAATAATGCCCTATCTCTTAATCGAGAGCATAAAGTTTGTATCGTAACTTGTTCTTCTGAAACCATGTGTAATATGACATTATAATTTAGTTAACAAATTAATGCAAATTTCTGATAAGTTATTATAATAAGATCTTACTTTTGTGATACATATTATAGATCACTTCTCGAATGGCACTTGTATCCAATGTCGCTGTGTTGGTTACACGTTTAATATAACTCCGCTTTTTCTTGGGCGATTCTAAATTTGCATCACTTTTCACACCCTCGGAAATACGACTAACTGTCCTTAAACTAATTTTTAAAGCAGCAACACGCTACAAAAAATGAAATAAAATTTCACTATTATTAATATACATTACATATAATTATTAGTAACCTACCTCTTGAACAGCATTTAAAGGCAACAAAGGCCCGTTGTTGTCCCTTTCTTGCTCAAAGTAGTGCATTAACGAGGCCACGAGTTCCTTACACCGACTATTTAACTGTTTGGGCATCTTTATATACCAAAATTGCCTTTATCTACTCGTAAAATGAATAATTTTGTTTTGAAACAAACAGTTGTTGATTTACAGTATGCGGGGCCAAAGGATTTATAAAGATTTGAAATGCCACAAATTGATTCAGTGTCAAAATTAATACAAATGTCAGTTCCCAGTTTAAATAAGTTTCAAGGTGACAATGTGTCAACGCTGCGAAATCGGTTTAGTGCGTTTACATGTCGATAAGTGATTGGAGCGTTTGCAAAACATTTTATTTCGCATAATGCGTCTAAATTTATCAGAAAGCAACTTATGTGATATTTTAATAACAATGTTTATATGACTATTAACCATAATAAGAGAGTAATGACCATTTTACAATTTATATATCACATTAATATGAAACTGCAATAGAGCAATTCTTTGTGATAGAAACCTAGGCATTAGGTCGGGGAATTTTTATCGTGATGACGTGCACGCCACTTTGTTTGGCGTTGACTATATGTATAATGCAGTTCAAGTTTGTCTTCTTACTCTGTTTTTGATCGCTATATATCAGAAAGTAACAGAAAGCTCTTGGCTTCTGAAGGATAAAGAAATTCTAAAGGCATCAAAACAACAAAATTTCTTTGTACTCTACTAAAAATTACATACATATAAAGCTTACCTCTTCCAGGTCACCAAACTTGACATTCATACCAGATAAATAGGCTACGTTCGACCGGAAAAAACTCAAATCGATGTGCAAACAAAGTAATAATCAACATAAAAGTGATCAAAAAAATAATTGGCACCTCACATGACACCTCGAATGGGTAGTCGTGGAGACCACGCCGGTGTTTGTTGTCAGTGACGCGTTGCCTGGCAACCGCATGGTGAGCAGTCAGGCTTGAATTCAATTTTCAGTTCCAGCTGTGCCAGTGTCATTTCCACCACCCTTGACAATAATTAGTATAAGAACTCTTTTTTGTCGATCTTATAACAGCTCAAAGGGTTTATGTGTAGGTGCGAGTTTGCAGGTAAGGATGAGCTTTATATATGTATACTTACCACCGTACCGTGGTTGCTATAAAGGTGTTCCCCGGACACATAATTTTGATATCCTATGAACAACGTACTGGTCGTACCGGCCAGTTCTAGCGCATACAGCACGAATGATTCAGAATAAGATGCATATGGTTGAAGAGTCTGTTTAGTGGCAGCATTACGAGTATATTGGAGATCTCAATTCGATTGGTATATAAGTAAAAATATTCTTAATGATTTTTTCAGTATAATTGGAGAGAAATTATTATTATTGGTGAATCATTGTTCGAGGGTATAATATACGAACAAATTATAGAATTCATTGAAGAAACCAAAATTTTGATAAAAAATCAAGCTGGATTTAGAAAAAAATTGCATTTGAGACTATAGATAGGGAAAAATTGTTAATGAAATTGCGTCACTATGGCTTTAAAGGATCAGTATTACACATTTTACAAAATTATTTACTAAATAGAAGTAAAAAAACTAAAGTTGGAAATATTATGTTAAGCGTTTAAAATATTTCAGTAGGGGTGCCGCAGGGGAGTAAATTAGGGCCGTTACTATTTACTATTTATATAAATGATATCTCTGACATTTAAGAACACTGCAAAATTCAAATATTTGCGGACGATACACTTATATATATATATACAGGGTGAATTCGAAGTTGAGTCATTTATTTTAACAGTGAGTAGATCTGATCAAAAGAAATGTTTTTTTCCTTTAACATTTTTGTGGTAAAATTAAAGTAACAAAGTTATACACACACTGCTTTAGAACTGTTAAAAATAGTAATATTGAAAAAATTATGAATTGGTTAAATGTCAATAAACTTAAATTAAACACTAATAATACAAAATGTATGTCAATAGGAAACATTTAAGTGACAATACAATTAGGCTCATGGTTAATGATGAAAAAATTGAAGCTACTGTTTCACGAACATTATGAATACATTATTTCAAAAATATCGAAAAAGATAAATTACTTCTTTAGGGTTTCCCATAATCTCAGTATGTATTCCAAAAAAAAATTGTGTATAACACTATAATTCTTCCCCATTTTTTATATTGTTCAACCATCTTGTTTACAGCAAATGAAAACATATTTTCAAAATTACAAATTCTACAAAATAAAGCTATGAGAATGATTTTAAATAAAAACAAATATGCTAGGATTAAGTCTATGTTAGAAGAACTGCAGTGGTTGGATGTGAAAAATTTCACATATTACTTAGTTCTCGTTTTCATATTCAAATTAAAAAATCATTTATTACCACCACGTTTAGAGAACTTCACAAAATTAAATAGTCATTATCATAACTACGAAACTAGAGGAAGTATAGATTTTCATCTGCAAAATTGTAATAGTAGTAAAACTAGTAAATCTATATTTCAAAAGTATTTATATATATATATTAAACAGAGTTCGAATTTAAAAATGTTTGAGGTGAAATTAAAAAATCACTTTATGAATAATCAGAATACATAGTGTGGTAATTTTAATATTAATAGACAAGAATGTAAAATTATAGAAAATGGATTGAAGAAAAATATGTAACCGAATCCTTATACAAAATTGACATTGCAGCATTAATGCTAAATAAATCTTTAACAACAACTACTACCTATTGACAAATAAAATCAAATCTCTCGATGTTGAACAATTTGGCAAAACTATGAAATGCCTCCTACTATCTGAAGATTTTTTGACGTCAAAGGCTTCCTTAACTTTTTTCTAACTTTTACAGCCTGGAATAACTTATTGTATTTTTTGCCCATCTTTATTGTTCGTCTAAATTTTAACTTTAACTTTTTTAATTTTTGCCACTTTGTGTTTTATATTTGTCTTATTTACATATTGTTTGTTGCTTTTACTTAATCTTTAACGTTCTACTTTAACTGACCTGTGCAAACACATTTCTGTGTAATAGCATCAATAAATTATTATTATTGATGTAGAGTAAAAGTAATATGGGATCTAAGACAGATCTCTGTGGAACATCTGATTACACACAAATTTTGAAGTTGCTGTATCTCTGCATTTCCGTAATAATGTGTTGGGCTACCTTGATTGCCAAACATTCGTCCAGTCATTGGGTCATGCTCCTGAGGAGGTGGTTTATATTTTTGAAGTATCTCATTCTAACCTAGCAGTACTTAGTTCCGAAAAGCTGATGACGTTTGTGGAGGATGAGATAAGGTAGTTAACTCCTTTTCGCATCGAATACAGGGTAACCCAAAGGTCATGGAGCAAACGAAAGGGGGTGATAGAGGGGGTTCATTTGCTATCAGAAAAACCATCCATGTCTTTATCCGATTGTGCGCGGTTTTTGAGTTATCGCCATTTTTAAGAATTTATCGAAAATCGCTACTTTTGTGACTGTACTATTTTTTCTGATGTGTTGTTGAAAAAAGTGAAGATTTAGTCCAGTTGATGTAAGTAGAGCAATCGGCTAATCTGCAGTTGTGTCTATTATTAAAAAAGTTTCAGTATATTCAACGAGACCTGTACAAAAAATTAGTAGGCAGATAAAGTGTCCATACGTAGTCATGCCATAAGTTCTGTCCCTCGTTTTCAAACAAGTGTAGACCTGTTAATACTTGTCCGATTGTTTACATTGTGGTGTCAGTTGATTAAGCGCTTTTCGGGTAATTACATATACCTCAGTTTGTATTGATCTCTCGAAGCATAACGATGGAGTGGGGCAAGGCAGAGAACCGTATTGCAGTGATAGCTTTACATAAGTGTAATCACAGGGCTAGTCAGATTTTTGAACTCTTACGCGGCGTTCAAATATCGCGTAAATTTGTGTCTAGGACCATTCAGCGGTACAATGAGACGTCCTCTGTTGGTGACAGGCCAAGAAGCGGAAGACCTCGTCAAGTAAGGACTCCAGCAGCCATCAAAGCCGTAAAAGCCAGGATTCAAAGGAATCCACTCCGGAAGCAGAAGATCCTATCCAGGGAAATGAAGATTCATGTCCGGACGATGTCGCGCATCATTAAACAAGACCTAGGGCTAGGGGCTTATAGGAGACGTACGGGCCAGCGACTTACGGCCACCTTGCGACACATCAGGGCGACAAGATCCAAGAAGCTCTTGGAGAGGTACGCAGCTGGGGGATTCCGAAAGATTTTGTTCACGGATGAGAAAATCTTCACCATAGAAGAAAAATTCAACCGACAAAATGACAAAGTGTATGCAAGGAGTTCACAGGAAGCTTCGGAGATCATTCCGAGAGTTGAGAGAGGCCACCACCCTGCGTCAGTCATGGTTTGGTGGGGGGTGTCCTACGAAGGGGTCACTCAGCTCCATTTCTGTAAACAGGGCGTGAAAACAAAAGCGGCAAACTATCAGAGCGACATACTGGATCCTATCGTCAAGCATTTAAGTGGTACATTGTTTGCCAACCAACACTGGGTCTACCAGCAGGATTCCGCCCCCGCTCACAAGGCTAAGAGTACGCAGCGCTGGCTGGAAAGCAATGTGCCAGAGTTCATTGCTGCGGAAGATTGGCCCTCAGGGAGTCCGGACCTCAATCCTTTAGACTACAAGTTGTGGGACCTGCTAGAGCAGTTGGCCTGCTCCAAAGCCCACCGTAATATCGAGTCCCTGAAAGCGGATTTGATCCGATCAGCGGCAGCTATTCCTTTGGAAGCTGTGCGTGCAGTGATAGATGAGTGGCCCGCGAGATTGAAGCAGTGTGTGAAGGCCAAGGGGGGACATTTTGAATAAAACTGTTTGATTATGAATTCTAAAAATGTTGTCGAATAAATAATATCTTTCATATAAATATATCTTATCTTGTTTCATTTTTATCATGAGATTATCATGGGACAGAACTTATGGCACGACTACGTAGAGACGAAAAACTTTGTGATAGTATGGCCTTTCAAAATATCTGTTAGATAATCAAATATACTAAATAGTTTCTGCACAAAGTGGGCAGCATGCTGCAGGTACCCTAAATTCGGAAATTCCCAATTATATTAAACTTAACCATTTAACTGGCACTGTTGCTCTTTTATCTTCTAAATATGATAGAGAAACAATTGAGGGACGGCGGCCGTGACATGGTTTTGGGTAATAGAAGGATTATGGATATCATCTGACCAATAGGTTAATAAAAACAGGTAGATGATATAAACAAACAACCGTATTTCACTTATGTGAGTCAATTCAAGATGCCGTCTTACCACAGGAATACGCATTTCCTTTATGGATTGTGCAATGAAAATGCTGAACGTGCTGAGGAAGAATATCGAAACCGATATCCCTGTAGAGAAAATTTTTCAGATTACATTTATTCATGTACATAGTGAATATGTAGCAGGAGAAATGCATGTGAGACCAGCAAAAACAGGATTTCCGAGGATCGTATATGATGAAGATGTGGTGTTACAGGTAACAGAAACTGAGCCTTCTAGCAGCGTGCGCCAGTATTCGTGAAACGCTGGTGTAGCTAAGTCGACAGTACACATTACACAATTCAACTCAGTCAGCTGTTGAACATTCAACGTGTGCAGATGCTTTTTCCAGAAGACTGCCCAAAGAAAGTCCAGTTTTTCAGAAGGATGCTCCAAGAATATTGGAATGACGCAGTTCTTCAAAAAAAAATCTTATTTACGGACGAAGCTTATTTTCGAAGAACAGGAATGTACAAGATTCATAACTTACATCAATGGACTCTAGAGAATCCACTTATGACACAGATTCAGAGTCAGCTTATGAGCTTGGCTAGTGAATGGCCAATCAGTTGGCCCATTTGAGCTACCAGAGAGGTTGTGTAGAGAAATTTATTTGAATTTTCTCTATAACAACTTACTAGATCTGTTAGATGATATTATATTGCATAACGATGTGGTTCCAACATGCTCTCCACACAATGCACGCCAGGTCAAGGATTTTTTAAATCGCACATACTCAGATCGATAGACAGGACGAGGAGGAACCATAACCCTTTCCGTCTGTCCTTTCTGAAGACAGGTTATGTTCAATGTTATAAACACGATTTTTTACGTATTTTGTGTTTTCAAAAACTTTGAGGAGAATTTCGGGAAATCACCTCCGCGCCCGCGTTGTGTGTAATCACTGTTAGCATGTATATGACTTGTAATTCGACAGTGTATAGTTAATATAATTATTTCTTATCTCTCTCAGTGTTGAAATTCAGCAAATTTGCATATGTAATTTCCAGATGGATAAAAAAATTGGATGCGCAACTAATTTCTGGCTTTGAATCTCAAGTAAGCGTAGAATCCAATGAAATTATCACACATTGTTAGCACACAAATCCTCACTGAAAAAATACGAATCAACATTCGATAAACCATTAGATACTAAAGACTTATTAAAAAAATCAATAACATGGAATTAAGATTGAAGAAAAAAACAGATCTAAAAAAAACTGGTAATAAAGCAATTAAATTGTTAGATTGGGAAAGAAAGCTGCAGAAAGCTATGAAAGATGACTGTAATCCTACAATTGGGAAAATTAGAGGTGCCATTCAGGTTGGTAGTGTTCAAGAAGAAGAAAGTGATTATATAAAGCAATTCAGAAGACATTGCCACCAAAAAGAAAATTAGCAACAGAGAAATATGAAACTGAGGAAACCACTACAAAAGAACTGCAACGTGCTATTACAGCAGTACCAAACAAGTATTTTACAACAAGAGTATTATAAAACGAAATTAGAAATGATGCAGCGTCAGAAGCATCCTGTAACTTATGATGTTCACGAAAATAAAACTTATTGTAACTTATAAATACACTTTAATCAGTAAAACTATTTATTATAATACTCGAGTTTCTTCTTATTTGTTGACCTAGTTGGCGGAGAGGAAGTTCGTAATTCTCATGATTTCCTTCATCTTCATCTGGATCTTGTTCTACTAACTCAAAGTCAGGATCGCCCTAGCTCTTCGCAACATTATGGAGTACAATACAAGCAATAATTATTTTCGGCACATTTTCCAACTTTACGCGGCAAACATACTGTAGGATAGGAAACCGGCGTTTCAGTTGGCCGAAACAACGTTCAATTATAACTCTTTCTTGTTTTAAAAGCTTATTATAATTTATTTCTGCACCTGGAGTAGGATTTCTGAAGGGAGTCATAAGGCATGGCTCAATACCATAACCGTCATCGCCAAGTAGTACGACATTTGCTTTATTTATTAGTTGTGATCTAGCCTGTTAATTTTCTCCATATTCTGGAATCATGCACTGATCCAGGCCAACTGACATCAACACTTCTGAACATCTCTCTGGCATCACAAGTGGCTTGCACATTTAAAGTAGGTTTCCCTTTTCGGTTGATATACTCATCTCCATGGCGATTTGGTTCCAGGATTCCTATATGTGTACAATCAATTACACCAATTGCTGTCAGAAATTTATACATGCTTTGCCATATCCTCTTGGCCTCCATCAGTTCATGGTTGGTAGTTGGAAACTTGATTCATTCGTTCGACTGGGCAACTGTGCTGTTCACAACTCTATCCACAATCCGAGATACTGATGCGTGACTAACACCAAGTTCCTGACCCCCTGGTCACCGAGATAGCGTAGACATATCTTCATATTATGAATACATGAAAGTGCTCCTCCTCGAGTTTCCTCATTCTCAACTAAAAATCTGTCCGCAAACCATTGTACATTTTCTTCGTCGAACCGATATCATTTTTTGAAGTCACGACCAAGCGAAGGTAAACGAGGTCTGTTTTAACATCCCTAACATCCACAGTTTCCGCCATCATCGTTTGACCACCTTTCGTTACGAAGATGAGTCTGCTACTGACCACACTCAGAATTTTTGAACGATATGCTTCATATGCCAAGTATAAGGTGAAGATTATGAATATCCTTTTACTTATGTCACTGCTTTGAAGGATATGCTTATACTCAAAAAGCATTTACTTCAAATTATTATAAATACCATCTGGAGGATTTCCTTAAAAATTTGCAAGTACAAGGATATCCTTTGTTTTATGAATACGGCTCAATGTCACTTTTCAAGATACTTAATGCCCATGCGGATTGCTATTGCGAGTTGTGCTGCAATTCACGCATGATACAGCGGGTTGAAAGAACTTTTCTACATTGATGCTGACTTTGCATTAGAACAGAAAGGAGATGCAAAAAGGGCTCTTTTCCGAGCCGCAACATATTTTATGAACAAAAAAAGAATGACCCCTAGGATATAGAGGAAATAATACTCAAAAATTACATTCATCGCGTCTAATAATCACATTCAAGGACTTACTGTCTTCTATTTGAATTACATAAGGCTTGTTTGTCATTGGATTTACGCGATTAGCAAATGCTGCACTGTTTCAGTAACGCTTTTAAAACCCAAAATAAAGTCAAAGCCATCATCTCCTGAAATGATTAGAAATAGAATTCGTTCAGGTTTGAGGATATATTATCACATAAGTGTTTGCATCATCATAACAATGGCAATAAAAGGGTTAAGCTTAAAAAATGGGAAATTGTAGGGTACTTGTAGCATTTTGTCCACTTTTTGCACAAACTATTTAGGATATTTGATTATTTAATTTTGGAAGGCCATAGCTTCGAGAAGTTTCCCATCACAAAGGATACTTTTTCGCTTACTATTTTTTAACAAGCCTGATTGTATATTACAGATTACTCGGTTAATCTGTGCTGCATCTACAATAACTGGACCAAATTTTCACTCATAGCTTTTTTCCAGCGACACATCATTTGGGAACATATCTTATAAATATAATTGAAAAATAACAGAAGAAAACTTCAGAAAAATAGTACAGTCTCAAAAGTAGCGATTTTTCATAAATTCTTAAAAAGACTCAAAAACCGTGCACAGTCAGATAAGGACATGTACTGTTTTTCAGCAAATCACCTCGCGTCGCTTGCTCCATGACTTCTGGGACAGCCTGTATAAAAGCTCATAGTTCTGGGAGACCATGGAAGGAAACTGACTACTGGCACGTAACAAGTGGTACTTCATTTCAGAAATCCTCCCGGTAGTGACTAGGATGAAACATATGAGTATAACAAGAAGAAATGCAATAGCTGCGCATAGGAAAATCCCGCTTAACAGTATCATACTTCCACCCTTGTCACCTTCTTTTCCTGAAAGTGAGCCTCAACTCATTGGAAAAGTATTGGTAAGTATTACCACTGCGAAATTCACTTAAGCTTACATCAAATACAGCCTACGATATACGTAAAGTTTAGCTGTAGCTGCTCTTTCACTTCACCTGCAAAAGAAATCTGCCCAAAAAACAAAAATACAGTGAGAGCTACCTATTTTACATAGTAAGCAAATACATTAATTTTACTAGTTCATCATATACAGGGTGTTCAAGATAAGGATCCAGCTTACGTTGAATTAGGAAAAAGTTGCGTTCTTTGGGTCATAGTTACATCCCGTACATGGCTGACTGAGATATTTGGGAAAAACTAAAATGTGGCCTAACCAGTTTTTATTTTTTCTGACTGTCTTTTAAGAAATATCAAAAAACTAATGAAACTTTTCCATTGGTACTTTTAAGGGACAACATCATGGTGTTTTTAAATTTTGTGCCTGCCGGTTCGTTTTTGAAAAACCATCAGCAACTTTATGTTTTATATGGTACGAAAAAAAGTTCACCCTGTATTTAATAATATTTTTCATACGAATTCAACTATGTATCATAAGTTACATTTATTTTCTTGTTTATAAAGAAAAATTTTTGCTGATTGTTCTAATTTTTATCAAGTAGGCGTTGCAAACAAATACTTGACTTGACATGAATACCTGTCACCGAGTATTATCAGTGTTGTGTATTGTTAATATTGCTTTATCATCAAAGATGTTATGCGGCCATTTTAACAATGTGCTTCAAACATATCTACTAAACATATCTACTGCAGAAATGTATCTTGATAAATTTCCCGTAAGAAGTAAGTACATTTTTTTAGAGCTAGCTTGAAATTTAAATGAATATGGTTCATTCAAAAAGCCTGTTACGTCTCAGAAGATGATTCTTAAGAAGAAACTCAAAATAGTGTTTTATAAGCAGTTGCTGAGAACTCTGAGATATCAACTAGGTAAATTGAGAAAAATTTAGAAGTAGGCAAAACCTCAACCCAATTTATTTTGAGTAAAAAAATATATGTCACCCCTATAAATTCAGGATTTCCCAAGAACTTAGACCAGGAGATAGCGTGAAGATTTTAATTTCCCTCCAATATGATAATATGGCCCGACGAGAGTATGGTCACTAATAATGATCTTCAATCGCAGCAACACTCATTACTGGGCTATTTTTTCAATTCATCCCGACCCTGAAGGTGTTGAATTTGGATATGAACGATTCATGCAATAAAAATTTTTTAATTTAAAATAGATCTATTGCGGGATTTTTTACGAATATGCACATCAATCGTGCAATATAATTACAAATAGTCACCTTCTTAAATATACAATAAAATACATTTCAAATAATGTATCGCAAGACTCCACTTCCTATTTAAAAATTCACGGCTTCTTAGACCCAGTCGGATAATGTTAAATTGAAAAATGACATTTTTATGTTACTTTTATTTTTGAACTAACAATCGGCCTATTTTTGGGCTTTTCATGAATCTGTGTAGCAACAGAAATAATAGACTCACTTAGAGAAGAAGAAGTTCCATTTGAATACAGTTGATCACCCCTCAACTATGACTATTCCTAAGATTTCGTTTTCTTAAAATTTATCAACAATAAATAGTTTAACGTATCCAACAACTGCTAGGGAAGCTTAAAACATGTAGAATGCCCAAGAAACTTGTATATTATTATGGGTAGCATACTGTATTAGGAAAGTGAAAGTATATCAAGAATTCATGTGCATCTTTATAGAACTTTTATCAACTAAATTTTTTGATCCAAAACCCTTTTTCAACTCAGATAACTACGCTTACATTTATTATATAATTCACTGTTTATTCTTGAGTATTGGGGCATTATAAAGGGATTGTAACTCAACTGCTCAGAACATGGAATAATTCCTTTAAAAATTCAGGAGTTGATTGGGAGCGAGTACATAATGTTATGGAGGCATTCTGTGTCAACATCATAAAGTATGTCAAGGACTGGGGTAAAAAATATCAATAAGGAAAGTATGTGTTGAATTTTCTGCTGAGACGATCTATCTATGCAAGGGCATGATCGATATTCTTATCTCTGTAGTAACCTTCTTAAATATACAATAAAATACATTTCAAATAATGTATCTCCACTTCCTATTTAAAAATTCAGGGCTTCTTAGACCCAGCCTGATAATGTTAAATTGAAAAATGACATTTTTATGCAATGTTACTTTTATTTTTGAACTAACAATAGGTGTATTTTTGGGTTTTCCATGAATCCGTGCAGTAACAGAAATAATAGACTCACTTAGAGAAGAAGAAGTATTCCAGTTTCCATTTAAATAAAGTTGATCACTCTTCAACTATGACTATTTTTAAGATTTCGTTTTCTCAAAATTTATCAACAATAAATGGTTTAACGTATCCAACAACTGGTAGGGAAGCCTAAAATATGTAGAATGCCCACGGAACTTGTATACTAAGTGACATATAAATCCTAACACCCAGTTTAAATGGTTTTATTTTAATAAAAGTTGGTGAATGTATTTATCTTACTATAAATAACAAGTGAAAAAAAGCCTTATCAGTTGGACATTCCGGTTTTTATACTGCTTTTTTTAATTCACTAACGCTCTAAAAATGAATATTTCAGCCGCAATAAAGAATCAACGTTGGCGGATTTTGGTTCTTGAGATCCTTTACGATCGGTTACGATGCCTAGAGTACGGAGACCCGTACGATTTCGTCAACTTAGTGAGTTTGATAGGGGCCGTATAGTGGGACTTCGGGAAGCTGGACTTTCTTTTCGGGCAATTGCAGTTAGAGTGCAAAGAAGTGTAGACACTGTGGTTAGGTGTTGTCAGGCATGGCTTCGAGAAGGCCGTACGCAAAGAGCAAGCGGCACTGGACGCCGCCGTAGAACAAGAGACCGTGAAGATCGCCGCCTAAGATTATTGGCCTTAAGGGACCGTTTCTCCACTACCAGGTCCATTGCAAATGAATGGTTTGCAGAACACGGAAGACCTATTGGCATGCGAAGTGTTTACCGACGAATGAGAAGTTTTGGCTTGTTTTCATACCGGCCACACTGGGTCCTCCCTTTAACTCGAGAACACCGACGTAATCGCCTTGAGTGTTGCAGACAACGGTCACTCTGGGATCAGGAATGGAACAGTATTGTCTTTAGTGACGAGTCTCGATTTTGTTTAGGCTTGCACGATGGTCGTGCCAGGGTTATAAGGCGACGTGGTGAAAGGAGGAATCCACAGTTTTTCGTTAAAAGACATGTTCATCACACTGTTGGAGTTATGGTTTGGGGTGCTATAGCTTATGGACCCAGGTCACCTTTAATCTTCATCAGAGGTAACATGAACGCGCAGCGTTATATCCACGAAGTTCTAGAACCCCATTTTTTACCCTATCTTGACACCCTGGCAGATCCAACTTTCCAACAAGATAATGCCCGACCACATGTTGCAAGAGTCACAATAGACTTCTTTCAACATAATGATGTCACATTGTTACTATGGCCACCAAGATCTCCCGACTTATCCCCAATTGAGCACGTGTGGGATATTGTGGGTAGGAGATTGCTCAATTTGCAACGTCCTCCTCATACTCTAGAAGCACTTCGAGAGGAGTTGGTGGTTGCCTGGAATGAGATACCACAGGAGGACATTGACCACCTGATCAGAAGCATGCCTAGGCGCGTTGGAGAATGCGTAGCACATCAGGGTGCATCCACACATTATTAAAGGTCAAAACAGTGCAATCATTTTGAAATTTTTATCATTTACTTATTATGCTTCATTAAGTACTTATACAAAAGTTTATTAAAATAAAACCATCTAAACTGGGTGTTCGGATTTATATGTCACTTAGTATATATTATTAGAGGTAGCATACTGTATTAGGAAAGTGCATGTGCATCTTTATAGAACTTTTATCAACTAAATTTTTTGATCCAAAACCCTTTTCAACTCAGATAACTACGCTTACATTTATTATATAATTCACTTTTTATTTTTGAGTATTGGGGCATTATAAAGGGATTGTAACTCAACTGCTCAGAACATGGAATAATTCCTTTAAAAATTCAGGAGTTGATTGGGAGCGAGTTCATAATGTTATGGAGGCATTCTGTGTCGACATCATTAAGTATGTCAGGGACTGGGGTAAAAAATATCAATAAGGAAACTATGTGTTGAATTTTCTGCTGAGACGATCTACCTATGCAAGGGCATGATCGATATTCTTATCTCTATCAAACTGTAATTCTAAAGTATTTGGATAAATCGGTGCTTGAGTATTCGATTCATATTCTGTTGCATATTGCATGTATATCTCAGTGCATATATACTTTGAAGGTCACATTTATGTTGTCAATCTGGTGCATGGAACGCATTTTTATTGAGCCACGTTATAATCAATAAATCTGCTTTGTTCCAGTATTACTATGAAATTTTTATACACATGAGACGATAAAGATCTTAAGCAACAAATTCAAACTCAGAATGGATGCACCAGATTTTTTTCAGCAAGAAAATCAGTTTTCCTTCAGATTATAGGCACGTAGAGGCTTTGGAAAATTTGTCCAAAATGTTATATGATGACTTTGTAGGGCAAAATATCATTTTTGCGTAAACGGATGAAACAGCATACTTAAATAATTTCAGCGTTAATTTGATTATAGCAGTAAAAAATCGTCATTAGTTCATGATGAGCGATCTAGAATCTTCTTCCCTGCTCTACCGACAATACCGACCATTTAGCAACATTGCTATGACTGACCTCGCCACTCGCGAGCTACGGCTGTCAAGGCAGCCACCCATCGGCTAGACCGCAACCGGAGTATATCCAGAGACGCGTGCGTTGAAAATATTTCTCTATCAAGTTTTAAGGTGGCACATGTAAGAAATAATATGTTATGTGAGACAAATGTTTTATGAGGAATTCGAATGTTCTAAGCATTCCGAGCCGTCGTATTATTATGGTGAATTTCCATCAAAATTAAAGCGTTCCACCATTACTCCTGTGCCAAAAGTTCAAA